TAGGTTGGGATGGAGTCCACACGGTAATCAAAACAAGGCTTTGTAGTTAGCACTGAATTCCTGCTGTCTCAATTACGTTTGTGGAGCCTAGCCCGTGCTGCACGCAGCTCTGCGTGGTGAGACTTTTCTTTGTGCCTTATTGGCTGCACGGAGTGGGACTGTGAAAGCAGTTTCCTTGACAACATTTTTTTTTATGGAATCTTTTTTTCCCCCTCCCTTCCCCACTCTGTGGCTGCACGACGAGGCCTCGCTCGGAATCCTGACTCGGAATCCCGGTTGCAGAGATACCTGCAATGTGAATGAGCATCACACACAGAAGTGCCCACCAGGTCCCTGTCCCAGGCACTGCAAACTGACGGGGCAGCCTCGCTAACAGCTGTGAAGAGAGGCAGCAATTAGAATGAAGTGCATTCTGCAGCTCTTCCTCCAGGCTTTTCTCCCTGTTCGCCTGACCACATGTCACAACCAGTCACTTCATTCTCAATGCCTAAGGAGTGAAGGGAAGAAACCTACAGCTTGCACAGACCCCACAGCCACCCCACCTCCGGTCACACAGAAGGTGCAGCCCGCCCCACACTGCTCCAGCCCCCCAGGCAGCCCCCACAGCCCCAGGAGCCCACAGACCTGCCCCCAGCTCCCTGCGCCCACGACTGGCTCGCTGCCCCCGAGCAGCACAAAAGCACGTGTCAGGACTGCTGAAATATCTTCCAGCAAAACAGACGCTCCCCTCCCTGCCAAACGCTGGAAGGACAGGATTGAAGCGTTCTGCAGGAACAAATCGATCCCTGCGTCATTCTCAGAAAAGCAGGAGGCTGCTGCTCTCCCAGCACTTTGCTCTCCTACCTGAGCTCGCAGGCAGCCCTGAGATCAAGAACCCTCTGGTGCTGCATGAACATCTCCCCCAGCCCCGCTCAGCCCCAGCCTGATGGGTTCTGCTGTCTTTTTCTCTAGGAGAATTTTCTTATTTCAGTCCTAAAGCTGTTTATATTTCACACAAGTGTCCTCTCCCCTTTCACTGCTGTAAATTGAAATTTGAAATGGCAATAAATCACAGACAAAGTGGCAGAAGACTCAGGCTGCACGGAGAATTACTGCAGCTCAAGGTACCCCAAAGCACTGAGTCTGGTCAGTTGGAATAACCAGCAAGACCACAGCACCCAGCGAGCCCACGAGACAGCAGCCTTTTGGGTAGCAAGGACAACACAAATCAGAGACAAAACAGCAGCATAGGAAGGTCAGCAGCTCAGCTGGCCTTACCAAAGATCACATCCTGCCAGGCAGAGCACCACGCTGTGCCCCACTCTGCAGCACCACAACCACCAGCAGCAGCACCAGGCTGCTCCAGCGCCACGGCCTCCAACACGCACATCCCTGCAGGGCGCTCAGCACGGGGACGAGCCTTCAATGAAGGGCTGCAGCCCCAGCGTTCAGCAAAGGCTCCCCGAAGGCCAAAGCAGCACCAAGAAGCACAGGAGGACGGCCTGGACCTGCTCTGTGCCTGCTGCTGACACAGTGCACAGCCCTAAAGGAGTCACGGCACGACTCGGTGCCTTCAGTTTCCCTCACCAGGCAGAGAAGAAGCAACTGCTTACCCATTTCTTTTCTCACTGGAGCTCTTCTTATTCCTCCACAGGTTTGGATCGGGAATTTTCTTCCACCGTTGGCTCTCGGCGTCCCTCATTTGCATTCATCTACAAAGTTAAGCCCTGAAAGAAAGGGCACAGTCACAGCCACCTCCAATTCCAGCCATCCTGCCAGCATCACCGCAGCCGCTGCCCAAATAAAGCCTCCCAAGCTCTGTGTCTCACCCACAGCCACCTCTCCTGGAGCCCCGCTCCCAGCCCAGCGCCGCCCCACGCTGCAGGCTGTGCTCACACAGGGCCACCCCCAGCCAGGCTCTGCTCTGTGCTCTGCAGCCCAGGGCCTGGGAAGCAGAACGCAGGCAGCGATCAGCATCTGCACCAACTGCCAGCTGAGCTCTGTGAGACGGCTTCCTTTGCTTGGTCCCACCAGCAGCACTACCAGAACTACAGGAAATGCTTTGTAACTTGTTAGTTAGAATTGCACTACGATAGAAGAGCAGACCATGAGTCCAACAGTTTCCTATCCATGCAGTCACTCCATTTCTGCTTATTCTTAGCTGCTCCAGAAGGACCACTGATATGAGCAGGCGCATGAGCAAGAGCGATCCCCATTAAAAGCACCCATCAGTAACTGAAGTTACTTAGATAGGAGTGAAAAGAATTACCAAGAGAAACGAGCAGCTCCCATCATACAGAAACACCATAAGTGCAGTTGGAATGGTGGTATTTTTATAGTGATGAGCCTTCGGTTAAGAAAATGTTCCTTTACTGCACAGCAACTGAAGAGGTAAGAACTTGACAAGACAAAGCAAGAGCCTGGTGTTAAAAATCCCCAAAGGAACAACAAAACCACCATGCTGCACAAAGCCATCCTCACTGCAAGAGAGACACAACCCGACAGCCGCTGCTTCCAGCCTCGTGGTCAAAGTGCTTTATTATCTCCTTGCCAACAGGGACCAGAAATTTGTTCTAGTACACTGGTGGGAAAATCTGATAAATGCTAGGAAGGCGATTCCAGGCTGCTAGCAACATATTTCTGTGATGGCAGCAAAGAAAGTTGATTGGATTGATATCTACGACAGCAGAAAATAGCACCTTAATGCCATTTCAATAAATAATGCATCTCAGCTGAGCGGCACTGAGCAATGGGGGGGGAACCGGCCGGGATGCAGCGCTGCAAACTGACTGATGGCCACCCCAAGGCAACGCACCCCGTCCAACACCTGCAGGCAGCACAGGGCCTGGTTTTGTCCAGGGCACAACAGCAGGTTTGCACCAAAAACCTTTGACAGTTCTCAGGAACGCTGCCAAAGAGGAGGATGATGATGATGATGATGTTTTTGAAGAAGTCATTTCAAAGAAAGAAAAGTTCTCTTCTCAGCACTGCTCCAAGGCAGCACAGCAGCTCCCAGCAGCTGCAAAGCCACCACCAAGCTCCAGCCGCGTCGCAGTGTGGATGATCAGGAACACGGGGGCACGGACAAACCGGTCCGAAGGCCTTTGTGGATGAGACCAAAGAAGAGCATTTAATGTTGATGACCTGCAATAAATTTATTAAGAGCCAGAGGGAAGAGACGTTTTACTGCAAGAACTTTATTGCCCTGCATCCAAGTGCTGAACCAAGGCTGTGCCTGCTGCACCCAGCCGCCCGTTCCCCATTCATCTGCGCCTGCACTGCATGACAGCCCAGTATTCTTCCCTCAATTAAGGCTGCAGTCATAGTAGGTGATAATTAGCACATTATAGATCAGAGTAAAAGCTAAGGGGAAGAATGCACAGTTATACATACAGCATGTAAAATATATTTAATTTTATTGTTCTGAAGGCCCCGGGTTTTTGTTGCCAGCCCAGCTCAACGCCTTCCCTCCAACCAAACCCCCAACACCTGCCCAGTGTTTCATCATACTAAAGACACCCATTTCCATTGCAGAAACAGCTACAGCATCAGCTTCTAGCTTGCGAGGGGAAGGCAAAAGCCAGAGCCAGCTGCCTTCAGCACGATCTGCCTTCCACACAGACTGAAAAATGACCAGATTCATTATTCCTCTACTGTAGGCACTGACAGCACACACTTCTGTATCTCTCACCTACTGAAGAAATCTGAACCATCACACACCTTAAAGGGAAGAAGGAGCTTGGTGCAACAACACAGCTTGAGTCAGGCACGGACTGAGCTCAGTGCAGTGCAGTTTTTAGCTACAGATCTCAAAGGTCTGGCTGGGCAAGTACCATTATTTTCTGTTAGATCCATAAATCCCTCTGAGGAAGAGAATTCTGAAGTGCAGCACTTGTTTTCTGAAAATATTTGTGCAGTTCAGCTGCAAATTAAGAACAGAACTGTCAAACGGGTGCAGTGAAGGCAGGTCATCCAGCCAGCAGCTATTGGTGGAAGACAGGTACAGGTCTGCACCCAGCACAGGCACAGGCAAAAACCTTTGGTGCCCCATGGCAAAACCTCACAGGAGATTATGCTCCTCAGCCTTTAATTGCTGAATGCTACAATGTCAGGTGAAAGCAAGGCGTCCTGCTGGCAGGGCACCACGTTAACAGGGTTTGGTAGAAGCAGCCTGGATGAAACTGCTTTTTCAGTCTGGGAAATGATTGCCTTGATTCAGACTTCATCCGTGGGCTGACGTGGTGCCAGCCCACACAGCACACTTATGGCCTGCCAACAGTAAACACGTTGGTGGTAACTGGAGATCCTCTCTCCAAAAGAGCCTAATGAAAAACAAGGCAATCAGTGGTTAAACTGAACTGTGCATGAGGGCCAGGCTGGGAAAATCCCCCAGGCATTTCTGTGTGGACATCTCTGTGTGCATACTGTATTCACACCTCATGCACAATGCAAACGAGACCCCCCCCAAGCCCTGAATTATTCAGCAAGGCCGAGCACCCAAGCAGCACCAAGGAGCCTTTTCCTCCTCCTCAACACAGGTGAGTTAAACTTCACTCCTTGTCCAAGCTGCCCCTCGCTCACCTACGTCACTCCTGACCATCAGTCTTCTGCCAGGATAGATTGCTTTTATCTAACAACACAAAGACAAGCACCATCCCAGCCAAATGCTTTGGAGAAGTAAGATTTGGACAGACAGACACACAGCCAACGCCGTTAGCTCCCACCAATCAGAAAAGGCCTGCAGGACATTCGCCACAGACACCCGGCTGAGGATCAATGCTGAAGCCCACCAGGAAGCTGCTCAGCCCCAGCAGCACGGCCACCAGAAGCCCAGGGCGCCCAGATGGGGCTGAAGGCCAGCAGGCCGCTCCCAGCGCTGCCAAGGCTTCTCCTCACGCCTGGCTGCCAAAGAAAGGCCACGCTACTGAGAGCCCCACTGGAACGGAGGCGGCGGCCCTGATTGAGGGGGACTTTTCTCAGACCAAGAAAAAAAGTCGTTTCTGCACAAGCCAATGCTCTGCTGGTTTTCCTTAGACATAAAATTTACTTTATTTCTTTTCTTAAAAAGTTAAAAATACAGAGGGTTCGGAAACTGATTTTCTCCTTGCAGATGTTCAAACTGCAGCTTAAGGAGAAAATAATCCTTCACTGAAATGTTGCTCTTAATTTTTTATTTTATTTTTTCCAATCATCACCATCATTAGGACAGAGGTTGAGGAGCACTGACTCCACCGCTCATCTGATGACGCAGTTTGATTCCAGATTCACATTTCCAGGTGCCAAGAGTCCAGAAAACAGTGCCATCTTCATCTGAGATTTTCTACTGAACACAGCAGTGACTGTTGGCATCTTTGAAGCGTAATCGCATCTTAGGTCGGTATTTCTCAAGGTAAAGCAGCTGTTTGGAATTGAAAGCTCCCCTCCTTTTCCTAAAACAAACAGAACGAAGGCTGACATCAATGGCAAAAGCACTGCTTCAGTCACTGCGATACTCAAGCTCGCGTATTTCAAGGCCTTTCTGTATCCATAAAACAGTGTCTGCGATGAGCTGTGAGCCCACTGGCAACCCAGGGAAAGGAGCTGGGCCAGCGCATGCACTTCATTACCCACGTGCCAATATTACAATCAAAATCCCATTAGCAAGTTTCAGGAGATTTCCTTGCATTGGGAGAGTTTATTTCCAGCAGCAGCCACTGAGCACCACAAGGTCACCCCTTCCCTGCAGATGCATGTGCTACTGAGATTAGCCAGGCAAGCCCGTGGCAGCCAGACAGAAACACGTAAGAGATGCTCAGAAAAGAACTTCTCAATGTGAAAGGTACTGTATCTAGGAAGAGGAAAAAAAGGAATTTAAGAAAGGGCAAAGTTCAGAAAAATCTGTTGACAGCAATATAGTTTACAAAGATAACCAAAGACCCTGGGAATCCATAAGGAGACAAATTGCTTTCTGGGCAAAGCTCATTCAACATCATCATACCCGCTGGGCTTCATTTCAAGATCTGATGCTATCAGCCAGCAGAGCTCCGCAGGCTCATCCTTTACCAGTTCTGCTATTTCCCAGATAAGGGGGCTGCTGACATCTCCTGAGTGGCTGCTGCCCTCGTGCACAACGCCTGCACAGTGCTGCCCTCGCTCACTTGCTGGGAAAATGGTGCTGCTGGGGGCCCAAACCACCCTGGTTTTTTTGGGCAAGGAGCAACCGGTTCACAGCCAGCTCCAACCACAGAGCTCACAGCCCTGCCTGCAGGCCTCCCCCAGCTCCAGAAGCTTTGGGGTCCTCGGTGCAGCACCTCGATGTGTAAGCCAAGATTTACAATAAATCAGAAAGAAAAGAGAGCGGGGGGAAAACACCTCATCTATAAACAGACAGAAAGGGCCAAAGCCTCAGCAACCGTGTCAAAGTCACGTCTGCCACTGTTAGCTCATAGCAAGAAGAAAACGAGTCAGAAATCAAATAAGCTCTGCTGAAGATGCATGCTGTCCAAACAGAACAAACGGAGAAAAGGAAGTTGAACTTACTGCCTTATAAACTGAACTGCATCTTCGTACTTCATTCCACATTCAAGGAGAGCAAGTGCAACCAGGACAGGAGCCCTGCAGGAGAAATCAGTACGTAAGGAAGACCCAAGGAAACACTACACTGAATCCCTCCAAATACATCGAGTTTATCCATAAACAAACAGCTTAAACATCTCTTTGAATGTTATCTACAGAAAGACATTTGCCTGCTGAGTATTTCATGCAGAACTTTGCAGCAGATAGCTCTGCTTGCAGTGTGCACACAGAAATCCGCAGCCTCTTCAGTGTTTGGGGCATGAAACAATAATTCTCTATTTTTATGCTCTCATTTCACTGTAACCTCGTTTTCTACTTTGCTAAAAGGAGCCTGCAGTATCTCTGGGATGCACTTTGCTTCTTATGACACCGCAGGTTTAGCTGTGCACAGGACAGGAGCACAAAGCATTCAACGGACGACCTCCAGAGATGAATCTTTAACACGTGCTGCAATCGTACCTGGGTGTCCCAGCAGCAGTAAAGTCAAGTTCCCTACTTTGGGATCCTCATCTCAGGTATCAGTGAAGTGCAAAGAGCCGGCTTCACAAACCAGCTGGAGTCACGGAGCACACTGACTGCTCCTGGATGGATTTCACTCTGCTAAGCACACACAGGTGCAGCAGGCGCCCTGACAGCAGTGAGGCATTAAGCAGGTGTCAGCAGTTGGACGGATTGTGCTTAGAGCCACACAGAAAGGGGGTTCAGCAGAAAACCGCCACCCTGCACACGCATAAATAGCGATTCTCTGTCCAAGGGGAACAATCTGTAATCTCAGGAGTCACTTTAAAAACACAGATGTATCAACCTCCTACAGCTGAGGTTTAACGCTCTGCTACGCGACACCGACCTTCCCAACCCTGCAACACAGTGAACAGCAACACAACATCCGCTCTCTTCACGGAATTTGGTTTTCAACAGGTTGAGCCAGTCGTCAACGATCTGACTGGGGGGTGGCGCTCCGTCATCGAACGGCCAGTCCTGGAAGGGAAGCACAGGTCAGCTCCCGGGGCACCGCAGGCAGATGCACACAGTTTTCAACACGTGCTTACCAGCAAGGTAACCAATGGGGAAAGCAGGGCACTCCACGGCACGCTGGCCGTTCTGGGGCTCTTTTTGTAGTTAGAAGTTCACCAGTCGATATCGTAATGCGCCGCTAATTAGACTTTTCAATACAATTTCAATAAAACCCTACCCTTCCTCATAGTATAGAATTCTTAGAGAAATAGCTGCCTTTAAAATCTCACTGCATTATGAATGTGTGAAAATCAATAGGCGCTTCCAATAAATATCTGAAAGATGAAGACTCTGTAGACTTGCCTGTGGTTGTGACCACCTTTCATAGCCCTGTTTGTACTACAGACGGTGTGAGAAGGTCCTCCACAACAGCCCCACACACAGCCTGCCTGCACAGCATTCCACCAGTGAGGCTCAAAGCTGCCCAGGTATTTCCAAATTAAAAAAAATAAATAAATAAAAAATCAAACATCTCACAAATAGGAAAAAAGAAGTGCTTGGAGAAGGGCAAAAACAGCAGCTAAACAGCATTTCAAACTTCACTTCTGCCCATAAAAGGAGATGCCAACATTTAAACCCTCCAGGCCGCACGCAGCGCCATCAGCACGGCTGCACATCAGAACTGCACACAGAAGCTCCCCACGGCCTGCAGGTCACAGCTCTCCTGGACGCTGTGCTGCACATCCCCAGCACAGCCCAGCGCTGCCACCTCCTCCACCGCAGCGGGGCTGCAAAGCGCTGCTCTGTGCAGGGGAAGGAAGACTTCCCAGTCGTTTGGCACTTCCATGGGCAGTCTGCAAGGCAACCTGACAAAAGGCTCATAACCAGAGCTTCGTATTATCTGAGGAACTCTTCAGATGGAAAGGAAACGGCTTTGAAAGGAGCCCTCCTCCTCCTCGCTGCCTAGAGCCAAGCTTCTCACGGAGTTTCTTAAGGACAGCTTCACATCCAGACACGTTCGCTGAAGCTGCAAGAACACGGGCAAACTGAATGTGCACAAGGGTTGAAAAATCATTGTTGTTCAGCTTGAAATGCACTTCCAGCCACACCAATGCCTCCTGCAGAGCAGACACAGCCGTGCAGCACCGAGGAGCACAGCCCAGGAGCGCCTCGCAGGCAACAAGAAGCTGTGAGGAGCAGCTCTGCCTTACAGCTACAAACACAGAAGCTTGGGGTTACTGAAATAACTTTGTTATCAATGCTGAAAGACACAAAGTCTGCAGAGTGCTGCAAACTCCTTCACAAAGGAAGCAGGAGAATGAAATTACCTGGGACAACGTGGCAAAATAAAAGGTTACAGAAACAAGAAAAGTAAACCTTGCTTGTCCCAATCAAAGGCTTTTCCAAGAAGTTCCACTCAATCCCACCCTGGGAGCGGTGTTATTTCAGGCCCAGTGTCACCCACTGCCCCACTGCAGGATGCTTCCTTTCGAAGCTGACAGCAGAGAACAGGATTTATGTCTCTGGCTCTGGGTCGGATTGAAATCCTTTCCTGCAGACCAAATACGGGATGCTGCTGTTATTTTGCTTTTGTTTACGTGTTAATCCTCACGTCCACACACGTCTTGTGCTGGTCTGAATTAATGACAGCCCTCGTTTCCTCACAGAGCATCGCCTTTGCAGTTACAGCACAGCACCAACATCAAATTAGCACTGGAGGGACGCTGCCCAGAATGAGAAACACGCATAATTCTGGGACCACAGGAGTAACAGCAACAAAGTTCTGCAAGTTTTTCTCTGCTAATTATGAGTTCTGCCAGCAATCCTTTGAATTCCTGTCAGTCAGCAGAGAAAACAAATTGCTAGGCTCTGCAACCAAAACAATCATTAGTAACCAGGATGATGCACTGGGTTTGCACAAACAGCAAACGCAGCTCGGCTGTGCCACCCTGCAGCAGCTGGGAAGGAAGATAGGCAAGAAGGGGGTGGCTTTATTCACCCTCTGTCTGGAGGACTCTGCTCAGCAGCACAGCCTGCAGCACCCACAGGACTGCCAACGCACAACAGAGGTGCCTGAGGAGCTGCAGCAGGACTCAAGTGACAAAGATCCCTTTCCCCAAATGCTCCCAGAACAGGGTAAGACTGTGCCACCAGTGTGGGAGCTTCTCACCTTTACCAGCAACCCATGGCCACGCTGCGTGCAGCTGCTGGACAGGAAGCCACCCCCCAGCCCTCCTGGGGGCACTTATGGAGCAAGTTCTGCTCCAGGAGCAGACAGAGCAGGACAGGCAGAAGCACAACAACAAAACGTGCCCCAGATCCACAGAACAAAACTTGCTGGCTGCTACTTTCAGGAAAAAACAACAAGCTTTTCTTGACGTACCATTTCTACACTGAGCCCTTACATGTCAACACAACTGTAAGAACCGCACAGAAACCCACAGGAACTGAACCCATCCCCACCTCCTGCCTCCTGGATTTAATCTCTGTTGGTAAACACGTGTGCAGTAGTGCTACACCAAGCACAGAGCCTCTAATTCTCTGGTTTCTCACTATGCCATCTGCCAAAGCATCTCCCTGCTCCTCCCCTCCTGCCAGCACACAGCACTGCACCATGGCACAAGAGCAGGCTTTGCTGAAATGCTCTCATTTTCCAGGGCTCCCCTGCGCTTCCGACCTCAACAGTTTTAAAACAGACCCTAATCTCCCCCAGGCTCTGTTTTCAATCTGCGTGACTTCTTTGAGCAATCAGCTCTACGTAACGACCTGTTGTGCTTTCAGCCAGTAATTCAACACTGCTTCTGAACAGCAACAGGACTCCGTTTTGGAGAAGCACGCATTAACAGGAAGGAAAAGCAGGAGGTGGCCATGTCAGCAGCCAGCTAAACTTATCTCACATCCCAAAACACCACTGCAGTACAGTGAGTTACAACGCAGCATCGTGACCGGGATCATCAGCACCAGCAATGACGCTGGCAGCAAACCCTCCCATCTCCTCCTGCCTTCTGCTGCACACAACAGATGTCTGCTGGATTTACAGCCTCCCGTTCTGCCTCCTGCAGCAGAGAAAGACTCAGAAGAGCTGTGCTGAACGTGGGAAGGCAAACGTGCGCGGGCACATGACTGCGCGTGTTACTCAAAGTGAGAGGCTCTTCAGGAGAATTATGCTTAGCAGAACTGGTGGAAACACCATTTCCAGTTTTTGAAAAGCTTCCTCAGAAAGCGGCTTTCAGTTCAAACCTCGCCAACAAGTTGGGTTTTGTTTTGTTTATTTCTTGGGAACTGCAATCCCCGGCCCCTTTCAGAAGCTCCACAGCACAGAGCACTCGGGCTCCTGCTGCTGAGGGCAAGGGGGGCTGCACGCCGGCTGCGGGGCCGAGGGCAGCAGAACAGCAGGGCAGCAGCCCTCAGGAGGGACACACATCTCTGCTCTCCCACAGCAACGCAAACACTTAAGCCCCAGCTTAAGGCAGGGCTCTGATGGCTTACACAGCACGCCTTTAATCCTTCCATTTTCTGGCAACCCCAGGAGTATCACAGCTGGAGTGCTGAACACAGCACAGCCTGAGTCCAAGGCAGCTCTGGAGGAGCAGAAACGCTGTTCCACATCCAGCCGCTGGAACCTGAGCGGCTGATCTTTCCAACAACACAGGCACACGTGGCTGCCTGGAACCGGAGTAAATGTGCACTGGGACCTGGAGCCAAGGAACCTGACTGACCTGCATGTGGAGCTTCCAGCTTTTGCAGCTGTGCCGGGGTCCGAGTTTTTCTCCTAATGGAAAACCATGCAGGTTTTCCTCCCATCGAGCCATTAAAATCCAAAAAGCAAAACACCAGCACCCATAACCAATAGGGACTACCTGCAAGAAGGTTAGGTGCAATTTCTGGCCTTACAACAGCATTACTCCAGTAAAATAAACTGATTATATCTAACGCCCTATCATAACCCGGAAGAAGTGCCTGGAAAAATACTGCCTGTAAGTGCAGGGTGAGCACACGGCTGTACAAAAATCCTGCCCTCAACACCAAGCAGGAGCAGACAGCACAGCCACTGTGCAACGCTCACAGTGAGAGCAGCAGCTCAGGGCAGCACTGCAGTGGAGGTGAGCAGGGAAGTGCTGCCATCAGCACCTGCTCCTGCGAGCTGTGGGAGCCTCGTGTTTGCACAAAAAGCAGCCTCTCAATGCTCAGTGGTCTCATAAGGCAGCAGTTTGAACGTGTGAGAGCAGAGCTTTATCTTCATCCTGAGAAGGCCAACTGCAATGCCAAGTGCTGCATCAGGGGAAAAGGACTGAGATGAACTGCATGAAACACAAGGCTGAACAGACCACAAACTGTGAGTTCACAGTGGATTAGTATCAGCCCAGTCACTAAAATGCAACCCAAAATATCTCAACAAACCCAGGAATAGACATTTCTATTCCAAGTGAAGCTGTAGAAATGAATCAGCAAGTACATTTCGGGGAGGCACAGCAAGTATCTCAAAGCCAGCTCTGCCTGATGCAGGGATCACACAGCTTTTGGCCAGCCTGAGACAGCCAGCTCCTCCCAAGGCACAGAGGCTATCCCCACCCTCACCTGCAAGTGCTTTCCAACGTCAGACAGTTTTAAAAGGCAACTCACTAGAACTTGGATTCCTTCCTTTTCGATAGGAGCTTTATCATAGGTGGCATCACAGACTCGCACCAAGGTTGTCACTCCATACTTCTTCAGCTCCTTTGAGAAGAAGGAAAAACAAATGAGTGCAGCGGGAGGGGGAGAAACGGAGCAGCTCCAAAAGCAAACACTTTCACATGGATCAAAGGTGACTGCGCAGCGAGGGAGGGAGGGCCAGCCCTGAAAGGAGCAGCCCTGACCTGCTGAATGGTTACAGGGGACAGGAATGAGCGTGAAACTTCTCAGAACTTTCTTTCCAGGGAAAAGTCAGGCTGGAAACAAAGAACGCACGTGAGAACAAAATGAAAATAGCTGCTTATCCTCCCCACACAGCTTCTTTTTCTCTTTAAATAGAAGCCTGGGACTGTTGGCTTCAGCCAGCACTGGCAGGGAGGAGCAGAACACGCCACCGTGCAGTAAGCAGCACAGCGTGCTTGATAAATAATCAGAAGATCAAACAAAGGCCGCTCCAGTTCACTTTGAAGGTTCACACAGCAAGCACAATTTCCTCTCGTGTTTGCACCGAGCCCCTGTAACCTGGGCCAATGAGCAGCAATATCTGTTCAGGCAGAAGCCTCCTGACGAAGGAAGGCAATCCACAGTGAGACCAAAAGCCACGCGGCATTCAGACAGGATGAAGCACTAAAATGTGAGTGCTCTGTGCTGAGCTGCAGCCTGACAGCAGCACCTGACGGAACGGAGTGCTTTGCAATGGAAGTGACCTACAAAGGGCACAAAGACTGGGCAGATTTGGAGCAAACCAGAGCGCAGGCTGCCCCACTGGTTTTTCCATTATACCACCTGTTAATTTTCCAGACAACCAAGGATTCAATTCTGTGTTATTTCTGACTTTTGCGTCAATAATGCTCTGATCCACCATCCATCAAGGATGGCTCCCTGTCGCTGGACCAGGCAGATGGCATTTCTCAGGGATAAGTTCTGGGACCTGAAATACCTGACAACTCTGTGAGCAGAAGGGTTTGGAGAAAACACCCTGCAAGCCAAAACATCTGCGTAAGTACTGCGTGAATCCTATTTTAGGGGTAACAAAGATCATAAACCAGTTATAATTCCATCAGCTACTACTTTCAAAGCCAAAAGATCAGCAATATATTAGAAGCAATGTATTACTTAATGAAAACTAACGTTTAGAGTCACAGAACATGCAGTCCTTTCCAAGCCAGGACAACAACAGTGGCAAAGATGCAGGTCTGCATTCTTAAAATGGAAACTCCTCCAATCTCTCAATGACTGATTTTTTCCAAATCCTGCACTTGTGTGAATTCTTGCGCTGTCAAGAGAACATCAATGATGTATTAAGGACAAAATCACAGAATGGCCACGGTTGGAAGGGACCTCAAAGACTGTGAATCTCCAACCCCCTGCCACACGCAGGGAAAAAGCCAGCATGTAATGCATAGCACAGCTTTGTGAACAAGAGGTGTGAATGCAGCACAGCGCTGCTCAGCGGTGCAGAAAGCAGGAGGGGTCAGGGAGGAAGGAAGGACGAGGCTGATGGACGCCTTACCTCTATGAACCTGCAGAGGGTCGCATTGGTGGGGTTGTGAGTGATGAGGAAACGCATGCCGTCGTAGCTGATTTCCACGGGGGCTGGACGGTTCATAATGGCAGCAAAATGTGTGAGGGGCCAAAAAATTTAAAAAAGAAAAAAAAAAAAAAAAGGAAAAGAAAAAAAATCAATAACCTCGGAAACGTTTCACAGCAGAAAACATTAAAAGACCACTAAAATGGCTGGGATTGATCAGAGCTTGTTTGTTCCTTAAAGATCTCGCTTCTACAAAAGCAGGTTTGCTTCAGAATCCACGTGAATTCAACTTCGGCCTCGGTTGCTGCAGGTGGTTTCCTTCAGACTCCACTCCACGTGCAAGACTAGGCAGCCTGTTCTACATTTAGGCACTGGTGAGGCAAAAAAGTAAGGGCAGGTTTTCTCTCCACTTTGTTTTCTTGACGCTTAGTTTTGCTAGAGTCAGTAAAAGGAACACGCTTCCCAGGTGCAGGAGATATCCCATATATCTGCGTGCGCTCGCTGTGCCGGAGTCCTCGAGGCAATGCGGGTCTGGCACCAAGGCCCTGCGCTCACTCGTCGGCCAGGGCGCTGTGCTGGGCCTGGCAGAACTCTGCCCTCACGCTCAGAATCGCCATAAATGTGCGGCGTAAATTCCAACAGAACACCTGAGGAGAGAAGGACAGCAGGTCAGAGGGGGCAGCTGCCCTGGCGGCAGCACCAGGCGCTGCTGTGGCTCCAGACCTTCGCAGCGGTGCGGCTGCAGATGAGGGGATGCCGACGTCGGCTCCGCTGTCAGCGCAGCACAAAGCAGGGCTCCTTCCCCGCCTGTGGAGGATTCTGATCAAATGCAATTTCAGACTTTGATCAACCATTGCCCTGAGAGCCCCGAAAACAAACTGTTCAGAAGAAGCCTCCGTGCATCTGATGCTCATAAACATTTCATAAGAGAAAATAGCAGACCAATCCTACACAAACAAATTGTACCTTTGAATCAAGCTTGTACCATTTATAACCATTTATGAAAACAAGGATGACTAAAACTGCCCAGAAAAAAAAACCAACCACGTTTCCAGTGACTGCCACCCTTAGCAAGCAAGGCAATAACAAGCAGAAAGCAAACAGGAGTGAACGTTTTGTACATCACTGCTTCAGAGCACTCGGAACGGGGCAAACCAAAAACCCCCAGGTGCAGCAGAAAGCTGAGGACATCCCAGGGCCAAACAGCAACACAGGAGCTGCAGTCACAGAGGCAGAACCAGCAGCTGCTGTTACTGCTGCTCCCCAGCCCCGACTTCAATCACCGATGTGGTGACAGTTCCAGCTCCTTCCCAGCTCTGCTGCACGCTGTTAACAAAGCACGCGTTGGAACTGCGCTGTGCTACAGCTTCGTTTTTGGAACGAGAAAAGAAAGGAGGGTGCGAGTGCCATGTGTGTGAGCTGCTGCTGGCACAGAAGCACCTCCAGCCTCACCAGCAGCCGCCCCGCAGCAGCACACACCCCTAGAATCTGTCATCTCCAAAGCAACACAGGGCTCATTTAACAGCAACAACTTCCAGTTATTCGCAGCCCTACCCGTTTACAGCCCAGGGCATCCAGGCAGCAGCTCCCAACCTTAACACGGAGGATTCAAAGCACAGCTGGTTTAGCAACAGCAAGAAAAGCCACAACGGCACAGCTCTACCCCGGCCCTTAGGGGAATGGAAGCAGAGCAAACTGATGCTAGCTCAATACTGGAGACCCAGAGCTGACCCAGCACACAGAGCAGCTTTCCGCGCACGCAGCTGAGCCACGTGGGACCGCGCTCTCCCTGCAGCACAGCTCAGGAGGCTCCGATGTGACATCACAGCAGGTTGAAGTTTAACTGCAGGCAGAACATTCCACGTCTCACTTCCTGCTGTTTCGCAATGCAGCCCTCCTGGATCTGGTGACAGCAAACCTAAGTAGGTCAGTAATGTGTCACATCCAAAGGCGTGGAACAAAGAGCTCCATCACCTCCCGGGGCACAGAGAACACAGAGCACTGCCTGTGGGTCCTCAGAGAAGGAAAACAGCTCTGCTGGGCAGAAAAACTTCACCAAATGGCATCAGCTATTTTGGAATACCGAAACAGACCCTTAAACTCAATAAGAGAAAGCGTAAAGCCAAAGAATCACCGAGACTTGTGCAAAGGACAGCAGCAAACAGCTGCAGGCAGGCAGAGCTGCGCCCTGGAGCCGCTCTGTGCCCGATGGAGGTCAGAGCAGCGCCCTGCCATTCTGCAATGAGGGACACGCAGGGAAGTTCCACCCCAAACCTCAGCAGCACTCAGCCCTTTAATGAGACCCTCATCTCAAAACAGACAAATTAAGGACGGCAGAATTACCTCTTTCACTGACACCAAGTCAAAAATCACCCAGAGAACAGCAATTATTTCCTTAAAGAACAGCTCTCAATGCCAAAAAAATGCATTAATTAGGTTGCCAGAGGCAAGAACAAAGATGTCTTCAATAACCTCCCCCCATCTCAAAGCAGTTCTTCCTCCGAGGGACTCAAATATAAATTTCAGAGAGGAATCCAGGGATAATTTATCAGCACAGAGATCAGGGCTCACCCCGGCTGGCAGAGTCCCTCTGAACTCACAACATTTGAGTCCTTCAGTGCCAGTTCCTGCAATCTGTCCCAACTTTACCATGCGTTCCACCACATCTCAGACTTCTCAGAGCACAGCAGTCTGCCAGGGTGCTGAGCCAAGCACCCACAGTGCCAGGCGCCGCACAGCGCCACGCAGGGAGGCCTTGTTGACAGGTCCTGCAAGGGGTGCCCCATCCCAGCACCCCTGACATCACCTGGCACATCCTGGCCTGAAGCCTCACATCACATCACAGCTCCAAAACCACGCCGAGGCCCCAGCAGGGTCATTTAAAACACAAGCAGCCGCCAGCAGACCTCGGCACGAGAGATGAGGATTGGATTGGAGCAACAGAGGCTCGCAGCATTACAGAACACTGCCGTCCGAGGCACAAGTGCCATATTTAAACAAACCCCGTGGACGTTTTTCTCTGCAGCACCATCATGGCATTGGAAGAGCATCACCGGAGCCGCGCGTCATCGTGTCGCTGCAGTTACACTTCTCCTCCCCTGAGCAAATCAGCGAGAGAACTTCAACACAATTACCTGAAAGGCGTTTTAGAAGCACTGTTTACCCAGGCATTCAGGTGGCTCCTCCTGTCACCTCAGCAGCCCTGGCTGCACAGCCTGACCTGCAGCTCAGCCTGCGGTGCAGCGATGGCAGCGCGCCTCCCGAGGCACGGCGTTAATTAGCTAATGGCTCGGGAGTGATTAAGAACGTGAAGCGCTGTATTTAAGTCTGAAAAATGATTTCCAGAAGGATAAGTAGTTTATGCAGCACCCGCTCCCATTTTTCGAACAGCTTCATTACTGACACATGCATCCCTTCCTCCTGTGACTTCCAACTGCATTTTGCTGAAGTTCAGCAAGGAAGATCGGGCTTTTAATTAGCAAATCCAGAAAAACCCCTTGCCTAAGCCTCCTGAACTCCCCAGGTAGTGCTGTCAGATTTCTCCCTCCTCATGTCAGCAATTTGCACTTCTAAGACCTGAGCACCATCAATTTGATGACAGTAAACAGCAGCAAAGTTTATCTACAACATAGGAGACAAGAAACAGCTTTTCAGCCAATTAACCTTCAGCTTTTTGTACTCGGAAAGCGAGATGGAAACCAAAGAACGATGACATGTCTTACATGGCCGCTGGGACGGGGAGCACCCAGTGCTGAGAATGGGGAGCAGCAGCCCAGCGAGACCCAGCAGGATGAGCCCAGGCAGCAGCAGCTCATGCATCTGAAAGGCACTGGGCACTGCGAGTCGGTTGGCACCTGGTGTCATTTAACTTCATTAGCAGGGAACAACAATCCGTCAAGATGCCCATCTCACAGCCAGGCTGAGTGCGCCGTCGCGGTCTCTGCACCTACAAGGACTGATGTGAGTTACAACTGAGGCCCCCTGGGCTCCCACCCCTCGTGCTCAGCTCCAGACAATGACAAAGTTTGAGGAAGCCCAAGGAGGCCAATTTGAGAGGAATGTTTTTCAAGATGCTACAAACATGCACAAATATGATTGAAATGTAAGCAAGGGGCAGACCTGTTCATCGCCTCTGCCTGTTTATTTAGGCTAGTTAACTAATTGAGAAAGAACGCTTCCATGGATTCCTGCCATGAAAGACATTTCACCTGAGATTGCCCTGAGTAAAACCAAGGCACCAACAAAACCACCTCCAGCAGCTGCCCTGCGCAGCAGCAGAGCAACTCCTGAACCAGCCAGCAGCTTGCCTTTCTGAATTGCACATCAGCACGTCCAGGGAGAGAGCTGACAAGGGACAGCACCAGGCATTCCTCACTCCAAAGCACGCAGTTGGAAGCGCTTCCTTCTCTGCACAGATCAACAGCTTGCAACAGCTGCAGCTTCCACCCATTGCAAAACGCAGATACCTCCGAAAGGTCACTGGGATCACCTTCCAAAATGAGCTGGAGTGCAGGATGTGGTGCAAAGCTGAGCCGTTACTGTGTGAGGATACTGAAGGTCTGCATTGTGAAACCATCTCAACTCACTTTGTCCCCATAAGTGGGAATTCAAGTTCAGTGTTAATGAGTTGGTAACTGCAGCTTTTATTTCCCTCTCTGCAAGGCCTTCCCTGCAGCGTGCACTCAGCACCCACAGCACTGCCGGCACAAAGCTCAACTCCCAGAAAATTTCTGTTCTGAACAACACTGCAGTGCTGTGAGACTTTTCCTGCTACGTTCCACTTCCCCATCCCATCCCGTGCCTCTGAACAACCCACATCCCACCAACAGATGCTCGGAAGCATCCTCGAGATGGGTTTCTTTAAAGCGTGAGGTGCTTTAAAGGCAAGACTTCAGCGAGACCCTCAGCAGAAGGGCCCTCAGTGACCCCGACACGACACCTCTCCTCTCACGGGCTCTGCTGCGCACAGACTCCAGAAGCAGCATTCCTGGATGAGGTCCCCGTGCCTGAGCTGCTGGGGCAGACACGTGCCTGAGGGCTGCACTCTGACACAGCACAGCCTGCAGCAGCACAGCCCCGCGCTGCAGTGACTCATGCATTTCCTTTGCTCGAACGCGGGACTGCGAGCAGCAGCAGATATCAATCTGCCCCAGCAAGACTGAGGAGGAAAAAACCCACCTCAGTTAAGAAGTGACGCATCAGGAAACAGCGAGAACTGTCACAGGTAGCACGTAACGCTGCACAGCAAAAGCACAGCTCCAAACCAGAACCCAAAGCTGGGCGCCACGCAGAGCTTCACCACCACCTGCACTGCACAGAGCTGCACGCTGCTCCTCCCTGCAGCTCACAGCACAGCTCTGCCACTCGGGGTTTTTTGAGCGCCTTCCCCACCCACCATCGAGCTTAAAAAGAAAAAATACTTCAGAAGACATTTGAATATTATTTGCATAGCGCATCCGAAAAGTTCGGTGTTCCTGAAAGTGAAGTGAAAGCCAGAAGTGCCCCCTCCCCCAAGAAAAAGGAATTCAAGTTACTGCTTTACCCTTCCAGCCATAAAATCCCACTTAACTTGAAATACACACAATCAGAAGGAACTTCGACAACAGCCCACCACTGTGTGATGTTAAACTGATCCTAAAACTCAGCACAGCGAGTTCAGGTGCAGCACCTGCTGGGGTTTGAACACAGCTCCAGAACGTCAGCATCCCTGGCAGCTGAGGAAATATTCTCACACTTTGGGATGAAACATCTCAAAAAAAAAAAAAAAAAAAAAAGCATTAACAAGTCAAGCAGGACTTGAAAGCAACTTCAAACCACACAGCAGCAGGGATATTATTCTATGAAGCTACAGAGTTGAATTACTTGCACCTTACTCATCTCGCTGCTTTGAATTTGCCAGACACCTCTGCAGGCAGAATGACAGCACAGAGCCTCGGCGCTCCTGCAGGACTCACATCGGGCCCCACAACTGAAACTTAAGCAGATAAATTTCACCACATGCACACAAAGTTGCAATTGTTCAAACGCAGGGTCCATTATTTCAAGCAGTGCCCGACTTCCAGCGCAAAGTCACCAGAAGGAACGTAACTGTAGCACAGAAAAGAGAAAGGAGGGGTAACAAAACAAAGGCACAGCTGAAAGCGACCTGAATAGAGGCAGCAGTTCGGCACCTCAAGTGTCAGCACAGAGAAGGCATCAAGAGACCGAAGGCTGCATTCAGCCTCACGACCGGCCCAGGGCCGGGGCAGCAGGCACACAGCAGCAGGTCTGTGCCATGCAGCCTGTCGCCATGCGTCACAGGGAGCCACCCCACACCTCAGCCCAGGGCTCTGCCCCTCAGTGCTCACACAGAGCCGTTCCACACCTTTAAGAGCCAACGCCGCCTCATTCATCCGAGCCCCAGAGCCCTGCGCTCCTCTGCTGGCTCAGCACGGTGCATTGCTGACGAGTCTCCTCCAAAGACTTTATCAAAACCCGCAATCCGTGCCACTCTCAGCCCCGACCCACAGCTTGGGTGCTGCCTTCAGCTGCGCATTGCAGCCAAGGGCAGGCAGGGCCCAGCCGGCTCCGGGCCAAGGCCGCTGCTCAGGGGCAAAGTGCGGCGTCACAGCTGCACCCACAGCCAGGGCAGCAGTGCAGGTAACTGAGCCCGAGGGCAGGGGCTGCGTCCTGAGAGCCGAACACGAAGGGGTCGCCGGCAGAGCCGTGCAGCCACACACGCGCAGACGCCGCCTCCTACTTTAATTCAGATTAAGGCTGATCCTTTCTTTCCAATAATTGAGTTCAGCGAAGTATTTCTATATGTTGAGTCATAAGAAGATAGAGTTTTCAGGCTGCTGCCAGTGGTGGTTTTATCATTTTTTCTTCTTTAAATACTAACTGCAGTTCTGAGTCAGAACCCGACTGGCTCATCTGGGGAGTTTCGAAGCCGGTTTCCATTTATACAGCAGCCTTTAAAAGCCAACTTTCTGCCTCCTCATGCTGTGAGCAATGAGCACACAGCCGCCCCGGGAGGACACAGCTCACGGCCAACCACGCCAAGGAGCCACGGCCACCGCCCAGCAGGGGCCACCCCTGCCATGGCCCCACATGGTGACACCCCCACAGCAGCCACCTCCACCCTCCATGACGGTGTTACCTCCCCCCAACACGTGCCCCAAGCAGCAGACCCTGCAGACAGCGTTCCTTGACTCAGAGCACCCCACAGTCGCCCTCAGCACTCCCCGCAGCCCCTGCCCCATCCCCCCTCCCCGGGCCTCACAGGGCTGTCCCTCTATTACACAGAAAGTCCTGCCCTCCGCCAAGCCCCATGAGAGCCACCACATCCCGGACACCCTTCCTCCCCAGCTCCACCCCCGGCCCGAAGGGAACCCCCAGCACCGCTCCCAGCTTTCTACTCTCCACTCTCATCTTTTACAGCCCACCTCCAGGCCAAGCGCAGGACAGCCCCTTCCGCCACAGTCTGGGGGCTTCCCACCCCCTCCCAAACAAATCCTCACCCACCCGTGCACAAACATAACAATAACCACAGACCCCTTCTCTCGGACACTGCTATCACGAGCCAAGACCCCATTCACCAACACCCCCACCCCCTTCCCACTAACTGCCGCCCCACACACACCGAGCACCCTGAGCCCAGGCCGTTACCCTTACGCAGACTCACAGATGGAGCGGGACCCCCCCAGCCGCTGACATCCCCGGGAAGGGGGGCGGGGAGGGAGGCAGCACCGCACAGCACCACGTCCCAAGGGCCGCCCTCCCCAGCCGTGCCCAGCTCCCGGCACCGCGAACCGCAGAGCACCGCCGGGAGGAGCCGCACGGGACGGCGGAGGCCCAGGCCGGGCAGCGAAGCCCCGCGGCGGCCGCAGCCCTCGGAACGCCGAACCGCCCCGGCCGGGCGGGGTCCCGCGGCGCACAAAGGCCGCGCTACGCGAGGCCCCTGGCCGCCTCCGCCCCCCGAGCGGCCCCAGCGGCCAGGGGCGCCCCGAGGAGCCCCCCGGCCCGCGGTCCCCCCCGGCCAGGCCCGCCCCGGGGCGGGTCTCGGTCCGCACGCGGCCTCCTCCTCACCCGCAGCCCCCCCGGCTCCTCACCCCGGGCATTGAGCGCGGCGCCGTTCTTCCGACCGGGCCCGGCGCCTCCCACACCGCGGGCCGGGGGGCGCGACGGGGGCAGGAAGGGGCGGCGGCGGCGGCGCGGAGCGGCGGGGCCCGGGACGGGGCTGGGCTGCGCGCGACTCGCTGCGGCCCGAGCGGCGGAGACACCCGAGAGCCCCCGCGCCGCCACAAGGCTCCCCGCGCACGGGCCGCTCCCTCCCCGCCCTGCCGCGTGGTTCGGCCCGCCCGGCGCTGATTGGCACGGCGCGCCGCACACCCGCGCCCGGCGTTGGTACGGTCCGCCCCCTCCCACCGCCCCTCCCGGTAGCGCTCACTCGGTGCCGTCGCGGGGGGGTCCCGCGCCCGCCCGGGCCGTGAGAGGAGCGCCGCCGAGCTCCATGCCGCGGGTCCGCGCGAGCCGAGCCCCTTCCCGTGCCTCGGGGAACCGCCGCTCCCATCCCTCCGCCGTCGGAACGCCGCGCACCCTCTCCGCTCGGTAGCCGGCGTTGGTACTGCCCGTTTCTCCCCCTGGGGCGTCGCTGCGGCCCGTCCAGGGCGGCCGAGCCGCGCGGGGCCGCCTTTGGAACGCCCCGCTTCCCCTCGCTGTACTTGGACCGGTCCTCCCGCACCACGTGCGGCGCGGCCTTTCACGCCGGCACCCCCCCGCGCCCAGGGGCGGTGGAACAGCCCTCCCCACCCCCCCCCGCCCGGTGGTTCTGTCCGCACGGCGGTTCCCACGGCTCCCGCGGCTCGGAGCCGCGACGGCACCTGGCAACAAGCACGGCGTTAACAATTAAAAAATGGCTAGAAAGCGTCTCAGCCTCGTGCAGCAACCCGGCATGGGCGCCTAAGCCTCGCTCACTGCGCTCCTATCGCCAGGAGGAACAGAAGCCACGCCACGGGCCCCGGCCCGGGGCAGGGATGCAGCCACGCGCCTCGTTACTTTGGGCCGGGTGCGACCGCCCTGGAACGGGAACAAGAGCGCCTCTGTGCTCTGCCTGCAGGGAGCTCCAGCGGGGCCCCTCGCTGCCCTTCCGCCGCACGTCCATCTGCACATCGCACAACATCGAGCCTTCCAGCCCACCAGGCCCCTTCTGGAGCTAAACAAAAGCTTTTTATCAGAGAGCTCACTGATTAACACCCCGTTATCTCAGTAGCAGGGGGTAAGAGGGGCGGTGATCACATCCACACCAGCTACACTCTGCTCCTGGCAGAGGAGCAAACGCTGGGAGCAGGGATGGCAGCACGCCCAGCCCCAAAGCAGTCCAGCTCCTATCTTCAGCCAGAGAAAAGCCCATTGCTCCTCTGCCTGCCAGCCAGCGCTGTCTGGAAGAGCACCACATCCATTTTAACACCCGGGCACTGTTTTAGTGGCATCTGGAGGCTCTGGCCAAGCCCAGGGCTGCACTGCGTTGTTCTGTGGGCTCCACAAGCTTGTAACAAAGGAACATCCCAGTTCCTCGGCACCCCAAGCAGATCAGACACCTCAGCAGAGCACAGCACACCTCCCCCCAGCCCAAGAGGTGCTGAGCCTCAGCTGATGGGCTCCGGCCATCCTACTCAGCCAGGAGAAAACGACCTGCCCTGGACAAAAGGTCAGTTTGTTGAAGAGTTTGAATTAATTGCTAAAACACTGATTTTATCACCAGGTATCAAACCCAGCCGCCCCCACACGGCCCAGCCCAGCCCAGCTCGGCCCACCTGCCTTTTTCTTCTTGCTCCAGCAGTGGGCAGCGGCCAGCCCACACCAGGCAGCCACCAATCGCTCGGAGCAGAGCCCGACAGCACAAAGACACCAGGACCAGGCACCGCACCGCAGGGCCACGCACAGCCCCGGACGGGGCACCGCATGGCACCGCACCCATCAGACCGCAGTGGCCCTTCACACCTCCTCTCCAGAACTGCTCTGAGCGCATGCGCACAACCTCTCAAGTCTGGCGCCACAGAGCTGCGCGTGCGCACTCACGGCGAAGGGGGCGATAAGCCCCTCCTACGCACGTGCTCGTCTCCCTATCACATACTTAGCGCTACGCATGCGCTCGAGCAGAACGTTTCTTTCTCCGCCCGCTCACGGCATTACGCGCATGCGTACCGCGGGGCGGCGGGGCGGCGTGCCGCCAGGAGTGAGACGGCGTGCCGGCGCAGGCGCAAAGCCGCGTGGGGTGGTCGCGCGGGAACCGCTGGGGAGGGGGTGGGGGTGGGGGTGGGGGGAGCGCTGTGAGGGATGGGGCGGTACTTCCGGCCCCTCACTTCCGGCCCCAGCGCTGCGGCGGTCGGTGTGGCAGCGCCGTTCGGGCCCGTTCCGCACCGCGCCCGCCCCTCCGCCCGCATGCAGCGCCGCGACGACCCCTCCGCCCGCATGGGCCGGGGTCCGGGGGGGCCCGGAGGCGCCCGCCAAGGGGGGCCCAATCAGCGGCGGTCGCCCCGAGGCGGGGGCGGCCGTGGGGCCGGGGCCCAGCAGCCGCAGCCGCTGCTGACCGGCGGAGCGGCTGCCGGCTCCTCGGGCGCGCAGGGCCCCGCCGCCGCCTCCCCTGCCCCGCTGCTGCCCGGGGGTGCCGGCAAGATGGAGCCCGAGAACAAATACCTGCCCGAGCTGATGGCTGAGAAGGACAGCCTGGACCCGTCCTTCACGCACGCCATGCAGCTCCTCAGCGCAGGTACCGCGCGGGGCTCGGCGGGGCGGGGCGGCCCAGCCCCGTTGCGGGGTGCCGTGGGCTGGGGTGGCTGTTTGTCGAACGGTGGGCTCGTGTTCGATGTGAGACACGGGGCGGGTGAAGCTCGGAGCTGAGGGTTCGTTTTAAAGCGGGACGTGGTGAGCCTGGCCGCTGTCAGCCCAGGGGATGAGGGGGTCCGCAGGGGGGGCGGTCCGAGCTGAGATTTCCATCAACCGCCGCTCGAGGTGCGTGCGTCGGGACTGCGAGCTCTGATTTTCCACTCGGGTAATCCGTAGAGAGCTCGTTTCGTGCTGCTGCTGAACCTCAATAGGGAATGGAAATGGCAGTCTTTGTTCTGTGCCCGGAGCAGCCTTCTCCTTCCTCGTCGCCGCTGTCCAATCGCCTGCCGCCTCTCATTCCTCCCCATCTCCCCGTGCAGCTGCTGCTCCGCGCCGTGCGGGGTGGGCTCAGCTGCCTCCGATACCTGGCAATAAAATCAGAGCCTTCAGCATTTAACTCAGACTCTTCAGCAAACTGACCTTCTGTCTCGGGAAGGTTGTTTTTCCCAGATAAGCAGGACAGCTGCTAAAAGCAGAGTTTCAACATTCCACGAGCTGCAGGGAGGTACCCTGCTGGTGTTGAGAGTATGGGCAGCATGACAGGTTGGATTACTAATTGGGAATGCAGTCAACAGCCGTGTTTTTTGTAAAAAGAAAAAAAAAGTCTTGACAGCATAAGGGACCTGGCCTTTGTCACACCCAGCCTCTTGCCTGGATGGCATCTCCCAGTGGAACCCCACGGCCACCACAGACCCCTTTCCAAAAATGCCGCGTTAACACAGCGCGTGCTTAACGTTAGGTTTTAATAAGTCACGTTGTGGTTATGTATCAATATTTACATGCCTAAAATATGTCAGATCTGTGTGCTGAAGCTGCTGGATGCGCGCTCAGAGGTGCCGTCCTCCCTGCACCCAGCGCTGCACTACGGCGATGTCGGCTTGCTGACCTGCCCTGGGGTTGGCAACTCTCATTCCTGGATTTCGGTGACACCTGCAGACCCCGGAATCAGCTTAAAACAGGAACAGCTTAAAATATTGGCTGCCACTTTGAGCTTAATCCGCGTGCAGTGCCGAGCAGGTGGTGCCGGCACAGGGACACGGCAGACTGAAGCAGCACAGAGCTCCATGCTCTGCCGTCTGTCATTCCGCTCAGAAATGATTTTTTAAGGTCTTTATACTGCTGTATATTGCTGTAGTTGTCGCAGCACTCAGGGCTTTTTTCATTCCTCCTTTAATGTGGGAAATAATTCTTAAGAATTGCTGTCTCCTGTTATGCAAATAGCCGAGGTACATCATCATGGGTAACTTGGCATCACTTGTGGACACCTCCATCTAAATAAATCAGTTTTATAATCCGATTTGCCATCAATTGAATGTTTTTCATTAATAAAAGCATTTAGCCAGCTGATGCTCGCAGCTCTGTGGTAATGCTTGCCAGCGACACGAAACCCAAGGGTGGAGGAGTGTGCTGATTCCCAAAGAAAGAGCAGCATTCTCAGCCCGCTTCACACAGCTTTGTTTGCAGAGCGGTGTAACAAGGATTTATGAGTTTTTCTATTAATTTAAAATCTGCTACTGGTAAACAGCAGCTTTGTGAGGTGTCGGATTGGAGGAACGCCAGGTGCTTCCTGCTTGCTTTGGGTATTTTGAAAATTGGAGTTCTGGGGGAGCGTTCAGCAGCAAACCAAATTCAACCAGAGCAAGAAGCTGATGAAAGAGTTCCTGAAATAAAGTGCCTCAAAGCACAGCTTTGCACAGCTGGCCGACTGCTCCCCAACTCATCTGCAGTGCTCAGAATTTCTCCATTGCCACGGGAGCCCCTGGGGAAGTCATGTTGGAGGGCTTGTTGTAGAGCTTGCTTGGGAACTTGGGCCAGTGATTGCAGTGCATCCATGCAGCACACCTGAAGCACGGTGGTTTTCAGATTCACAAAAAGAGTGATTATTGAATGTCAGCCCCATTCCTCCTCGTTTCAGGAGTGCAAGTTGCTTGTCCTGCCTCTTTCTGGAGGGAAACCACAGGGAGGTTTTTTGCATTGTAACTGAGACTCCTTGTTTAAAATAGTGTCTAAAAGTAGCCTTAAAGTACCTTTGTAATTCTGGAGCTGTTTAGTGTTTCTGAAGAAAAATCAGCATTGTTTGGGATTGAGATGAAAGGCCGTACAGTGACGTAATGCTGATTCTGAAACAATGCGCTGTGTGATACAACAGCACCGAAGTGGGTGGACTGTGGGATTCTGTCACACGGCACCCTAACAGACGTTGCAAACTGGAATTCTTGCACCTTGGCATGAGGTTCCTCACTCCCACGGCTCAGGGTCTGCATGAGCTTCCTTTTCCATAGGAAGAAGGAAACCCCTTTTCTTGCTTCGATTTCTGCTCTGCCTGCTGTGGGTGCAGGGCTGGAGGCGCTGTGAGGCGCAGCCCTGCTTCCGTGCGCTGGGGAGTCGGGCGGCATCCCATGCCATGTCAGTGAGGCGGAGGTGTTCTGCAAGTTCTTGCTTTAATCTGAGCTTAATCTCCGAGCTTCCTGTGAGCCGCCTCTCCGCTCCGCTTGCACCTTAACCTGTAGCATCTTGAAGCCCTTCGTGCTCCCAGCAATGCGGGACGGTGAGGAGGGCAGAGCACAGATGGGCCGCAGGACCACCTTCAGGGCGGTTTTGCTAGGGCAGAGCTTGGGCTGAGATCAGGAGTGGCACTGTGGCTGCTGAGCCTCCTGCGTGCAATGCAGCAGCGTCCCCAAGCCCCCTTCACCTGCCCTGCAGGATTCCTTCTGAGACAAAGCAATCGCTGCCCCACATGAAGTCCGGGAAGCCACTGCCATGTGTGCTGCCAGCCTGCTGACGTTGCTGGTGGCAGGAAGGTCACCTGCTGCTGCGCCTTAAAGAATCAGCGCTGAAGTGAGGCGTGCTGAATCCCTCAGGCGTTGCTGCGCTCCTCCTGCATGTCACTGAGCGGTTCAACAAACTGCTGCTGCTGTCAGCTCAGCCAGCGCTGCTTTGAGTTCGTAGCTCACGGGGCAGGAGGACGAGAGCAGTGGGACACATCTCAGGAGATGCAGGGCTGCTCCTTCCTCGCGCCTGTTTGAGGCTTGGGTTCCTTCTGTGCTGTGATGGAGACCGTGAGGCCACCTGCATTGACCCGAAGGAGCTTTGCGGGTTGCTTTTTGGGTCGGGGTTTTTTCTTCTCTCTGGTTTTGGGTTTCACTTGCAGAATTAGTGATGCTGGACCTGAGGCCTCTCTCAGCAAAGCTTTAACTGTTTGTTGCTCCCCCAGCCTCACGCCCAGGCGTTGCTGCTGTTGCATCAGGCAGATTCGGTTCACTGTGCGCTGTGGAGGCCCTTCTCTGCTTTTCAGAGGCTTATGTCCGATGGCGATGTTCTGGCAAGGCAGCCTAAGGGTGCTTTTCTTCTTGTGTGTGTGTTGAAAGTCCTTTTTGTTAATATGCAGAATACTCTTACAAATATTCTCACTGGTTTTGGAAAACCAAAGTGTTGGAGAGAGAATCCAACTGTGCTGTAGGATGTGAAGCTGTGCTTAACCAACACTGAGCGCTCCTTGTGTCCCACGTCCCGATTCTCTGCTGTGTTCTTACAGCTAACATTAACAGGCTGTGCGTAAAGCTGACCCAGGCATCTCCTTGGTCTGTTTTGTAGATTTGACAGAGCTCCAACTGCATTTGCATGCTGTCCTCAGGAGATCATTTCTTTGCAAAGCAAAAATCAGCTCATCTTCCTCAAAGCCAGTTGTATCCCGTCTTTGTTTTTTTTAACTGAGGAGTCATGGTAACACTCTTGTAAGTGATCCAAAGAGCTGTTCCAAGTGAAAATTTGAAAAATGGGGCTTTTTTCATAATTATGCAATGTAATAGCCAAGTTATGTGGTTAGATCTCTGAATTAAATGTGTATATGTATGTATAGCCCCCGTCCTTGGGGCTGCTGGAAGGTGCCAGGTGCCTCCATGCAGGCTGCACAACCGTAACTTGCTGTGCCTGTCTGGGTTTGGAGTCAGAGTGTTACTGGGTGGACAACGTGCCAAGCATCTGATGGCAGCCAGTCTTCATAAACACGGACGTTGAATGCAAAGCATATAGGTGGTGACATGGGCAGAAACTGCAGGAAACGTGAGGCGGCGCGGCTGCTTCTGCAAGTCCCAGGAACTGAGCAGGCTGTCCTGCAGCTCTAATGCAGTTCTGTGTGGTCTTGGGAAAGTGTCTCTGCCCCCCTGAGATGTGAGCAGTTGTATCTGGAGCACGTTGGACTCAGAAGAGATATTTACAGCTCCTGGGTTTGCTGGTGAAATGGCGTGCTTCAGCTTTAAGGAGGGGTCCTCACGCAGCATCCAAAGTAATCAGGGGGGCAGGGCTGCACCGAGGAGCGCGTGGCGTTCCGTCAGCACTTGGGGTTAATATTGATGCACCGACTGTGAATCTGGGGGCACCTGAGATCTCACTGTTGGCCATTAAATAAAACTCAGGTGTGACCAGAGAGCTTGGAGGAGAAAAAGCTCCGCTGTAGCTTTGGCAGAGCACTGAGGGTTTGCCTCCCTCGAGGGCAGGAGTGTTACAGCAGGGATGGCTGGGAGCATGGAGGGTGGCTCTTGGCGTCCTGTGGTGTCCCCTCCTGCGTTTCGATGCAGGTTTAATTTCCAGCCAGACCAGAGGAGGTGTTGCTGCCTCCTAATTGACCTTCCTTAATGACCCACTTCCAAGAGGTGATGAGGCCTTTCCTCAGACCCCCCAGGCTGCAGTTTGCCTCCACATCACTCAGCCCAGCCCCCACAGCTCCTAGCGTTCAATTGGAACTCAGAATCTTGCTGTGACAGTCAGCATTTGTGGTTATGTTGGCTGAATCAGGTTGGGGCATCTCTAGGGCTCGTGTGCCTGAGGCTCACAGCTTGAAGCCCTGAACTGCTGGTGATAAAGGTGCGTCTCTGGCAGGAGAACTGTCAGTTCCAGAAGCCAGTCTGACTGCAGGCTGCCTCTGACAGAGTTCTGGTTATGAAGAACGTTGTCAGCATTACTGGCATTCACAGTGTCGGTCTGTGCTGCTGCCGCTACGTAAGCGACAGATTCAGAATAGTGCATCAGCTTCAAAAATCAGTCGAAGATTTGCCTGCTTTGCTGGTCTCTGCTGCGCTGAGGTGGAGGGGTGCAGCCCGTGTGGCTCAGGGCTCTGCTGTGGGAACTGCACTCACGTGGAGGCACAGCACAAGTGATGCACAGAGCTGCTCCAGTTTCCTCCCCTGAGCGATGAGGTGGCTGTAGGGCGTTCCCTGCTGCTCTCGTGTCCCCCTCGTTGTCCTGGATTTGGCCTTCTGGAATCCTCAGGTGTGAAGGGAAGGAGAGGCGAGCTGGGCTGGCGTCCAGGCTGTCCTGCAAAGCAGATCCCATTTGTGCAAAGTAACCGGATCGATGTTGGTGTGCGGACAGAGGATGAGGGTGGTACGTCCTGTGCGCTTCCAACGCTGAAATGATGCTTGTTTGAGGAATATAAGCAGCCCTATTTTTATCTTGTTTAGAAATTGAAAAAATTCAGAAGGGTGAAACAACAAAGAAGGATGAGGAAGAGAACTACCTGGATTTATTTTCTCACAAGAATATGAAACTGAAAGAACGAGTTCTGATCCCTGTCAAACAGTACCCCAAGGTGAGGGCCAGAAAACAGCTTCCTGAATCTCTGTGATTTGCTTGTTTTCTATGGATGTTATGGCAGAATGTTGGAGATAGTGGCTGTCAGTGTGTCAGCAGGAGTTACGCCAGGGTGCCGCTATCGCTGTGGAATTCCTCTGTGCAAGCTTGCAGGATCTCATTTCTAACATATTACATGCATTACATTTCTAGAATGTCTAGGGATAAAGCTAAATGGTGCTGTGTAGCTGTGATGTTTCTCTACAAGAATAGACTCATATGCAGAGCTCTGTGTTTTACAGTTAGGACCACACTTAACTCTTAAGACTGCCTGTAAATCTGCTAGAGAGTAGTAGTTAGAATTAAGCTCGTTTTCCGTGAGTTCATTTAGCTTGATTTGCTGGTGGAGCTTTTTAATTTGGAATTTAATTTTTGCTGTGTGTTTTTGGTCTAATTACTTTTGGTGTGACTAGATTTGTAATCCAGGTTAACGTTAAGAGAAGCTTTCGTTAAGGTTGCAGAGTTTTGGGGCTAAATGTTTCTTTTTTATTTTCAGTTCAACTTTGTTGGAAAGATTTTGGGACCTCAAGGTAACACCATCAAGAGGCTTCAGGAGGAAACTGGTGCTAAGATCTCTGTGCTTGGGAAGGGTTCAATGCGAGATAAGGCAAAGGTAACGTCCCCCCCCTTGGGACCATGCACATGCATTAATGCCTTTCAATCTGATGTGAAAAGCAGACGTTCCCAAAGCATTGTATAAACCAGCACTGAGAAGCGAAGGCAGTAGGAAGTCACCTTTCTGAAATTGTGCTGTGCTTGCTGGGAGCATTCTCAATTGAGAGCACGCTGTGATGGATGCTTTCTCCATAAGTGATACTTGCAGAAACCCGTCATCTTCTGATGTACTGCACCTCAGGTGTACAGATAGCTTATGTGGAAGGTGATGTACAAGGCCTTTAAAGTACGAACCAATTCTGCTGCTTGGTGAGCAGTCATTTGCTGAAGTCATACGTTTCCCCTTCAGAAAAACCCCCGCATTTCCCATTTCCAGCAGTCCCCTCCGAGGTCTGTAAATCCTCGTGCTTTACGGAACGCTCTGGAGCAGCGTGCTGCTGGTGATCCTTAGTGAATCACAGAGAGCCCGAAGGCTTTCTGGGCAGAAAAAAAATGGATTTTTTCTTATTTGCTTGCTCCTAAAATTGAGCTGACAATCAATCAGCGGGGCTGTAGCTTCATTCCGCTTTTACTTCAGCAGCCTGAGAAGTTTTTACGCTCCAGTTTATTTATAGCTTCTTAAAGCCAGCTGAATAATGCAGGTATCCAAGAGCAGAATGAGAGCACGAGTGTTTGAGATGTCAGGCTTCACTTCCACTGTGAGAACACCTGAGGCAGTAGGGGTGCAGAACAGCAGAACGCCGCTTCCGTGTGCTTAGTGGGAAAAGTTTCTGGCATCACCGCCTTCACACTGATATCACAGCCAGCTGGAAAGGCAGCTGTGAAAAGCTGGGGGTGTGGGCTTGCAGGTTGTGCTTGGGGCTTCTTGTAAAACTGCGTGCGCTGTGCACGGGATGTTAACGTGATGGATGTGATCAGACACAGCTAAAATGCCTTGTAAGCCTACTGAGGCTCGGGAAACAGGAAAAGAAAAGCAGTTTTGCTGCATCTTGTTCAGTTTTAGGACTCTGATACACTTTTTTTCAGGAGGAAGAGCTGCGTAAAGGGGGAGATCCTAAATATGCTCATCTAAATATGGATTTGCATGTCTTCATTGAAGTGTTTGGACCCCCTTGTGAAGCATACGCTCTGATGGCTCATGCCATGGAAGAAGTCAAGAAGTTCCTTGTCCCAGTATGTATACTGATGCTCTTTCCTTGTTTAAGGAGGTAGATGTGCAGTGTTCATCTCAAAGTGGTGCACAACAAACTTGGGATAGGTATTTCTTTCCACTGTTAGCTGTGGACACAGGGGGTGGAGAGCTTGTCCAGCTCCATATGTCAGTGTCAGCAAGTGAATAATGTCTGTGTCTGCATGTCTGAAGAGATTTCCATAGAATTGGTCAGGTCAGAAGCTCTGTACACAGAAGAGTTTGCTGTGACATGAGGGTGAGGAGGGTGGCTGCCCAGGAGCTTGGTGGTGGTGTGCTGGTGTTGTAGGCAGTTCTGAGACACAGCTGTTACACCAGTATTTCTGTGACCTCAGATTGGTGAGATGTGAAGGGACCTGTTTTTGCTACTGGGGCATTTACACAACTGACATTTCTTGTCCTTTTGGGAATTTCTGCTGGTGAAGTTTCTGAGACCTTCATGTTCAACTGGATGTTAGTCTTACAGTATGTAGCATAACAAAGCTAGAGCATCGCCCCTGGAATTGCAGAATCTGGAGGAGTCTCACGTAACGTTATTGAAATGGAGGCATTGCTCACCAAACTGGGAAGAAAACAAATTGGGGATGAAGCACGCAGTGCTCCCGGATTCTGGCTGGCCCAGCCTGTGATTCAGAGCCCAAGCAGGCAGAGAGCTGAGCGCAGCACCGCGCTGCCTGGAGCTCGGCTGAGATGGAGAGCTCAGATGTTCTGTCTGAAACAAAAAGGGTGGGTGGAATCCAAGAGCTGCAGGTAGTGGGGAAGTGTGGCAGAGCTTGTGGTGGCTGGGTGGTTTCCGTCAGTCTGACACAGAGAGATGACTGTGTGAAGAGCCTTTGAAGGAAAGAGGTCATCTTCAAGGAGACCCTTGGATGTGCAGAGCTCTGCCTCGCTAAGGCGAGCGTGCAGCCTTGCTATTTAAAGTGTCTGATCTATCGGTGCCTTCAAACAACGTGTTAAACTTGTGAAAACTGACAGAGCAGTCACTATGGAAGCCAGCAGCGCTGTGAAGACGCAGCTGGTAGGAGACTCCTTGCTTTGTGGAGTTGCCATGGCAGCATGAAGATCCCCTCTGTGCTCAGGGAGGGGGGGCCAAGGCCCTCTGACGGCTCCTGGGGCTCAGGGGACTCAGAGCGCATTGCTGAAGCTGGATCCCCTGGGGAGATAGAAAAGCACAAAGCAGAGGCGTTCTGTGTTTGTGAGACTGCAGAAGGCAGCCTGCATTTGCACACTGGTATTTACTCTTCTCCTGTTCCTTCAGCATTCAGGAGCACAGCAGTGTGCTGTTACCTTACGTGGGCTCGTTGCCACCTGCCTGCCTTTAAATAGAGGCGTAAGGTGCTTGAGGGGAGATATATCTTGCCTGACTTAACCTCTGAACTCTCCAACATTTGCAAATGAAACTTGCCAGTGTCCCTAGGGTGCTGAGTATCGGATGCCTCCAGAGCTCCCGCAAGCAGGTCCTCCTCCCAGGGAGCATCTGCAGCACACGCACAGAGTGCTGTGCTCTTCTCAGCTGCTTTGGAGTAAGCTGGCACTCGTGTGCTGCTGTCTGCTGAGAAGATCCCGGGAAAACCAACCAGCAGGCTTTCATTGAGCACCGTTGGGTCATTTTTATTCTAGCACGGTGGCTTATGGTACCCTGGAGCAGAGACTGCAGTTAGCTGCTCTTTGGAGCTGACTCTCTCCCCTCTTTAGGATATGATGGATGATATCTGTCAGGAGCAATTCTTGGAGCTCTCCTATCTGAACGGTGTACCAGAGCCAACTCGTGGCCGAGGAGGCCCTGTGCGGGGAAGGGGAGCAGCTCCACCACCGCCTCCACCTGTTCCAAGGTACCTTTCCCAAAAGCATGGACCTGGAAATGCTGCATCTTGCTCAGAGTGGTGCTGCGAGATCAGGTTAAGCTGCTTATTCTTGTACATCAGCTGTTGACTGTGACCTTGGCTTTTGGCCAAAGCTTTCTAGCCTTGTTTTGCAGGCTTCCTTTAGCAAGCTGACATCAAATATTCTGTATGTTTTGAGTTGCAGTAGTTATAGTTTTGCTCCATGGATGTTTTCTTTATTGTCTTTGCTGTCTGAAATCATTAGCATCACAAAATAGCCATTAAAAAAATGGAAAGGATAGCTAGAAAATTGTTTTTTAAAAAGAAAATCTGCCTGCAAAACCACGCGCAGATGTTTTGTGTTTGCTTCTACAACCTCCAGCAGAATACATATTTTCAGTTTAAACCGACCTTCCTTTGAAAGTCACAGGGGGGTGTTACTCTGTCACTGCTGTCAAGGCGATGAGATAAATTGGTGTAACACTGTTGCTGTGTTGCTTCGCCACATATTTCACAGGGGCAGCCTTCACTTCTGTCTGACCGTTCAGCCCAGCGATGTCCCCGCTCCCCTCAGCGGTGGTTTTGCAGTGCTGAGGGGTGGCAGTGGCTGCTGGTCGGTGACAGAGGGCAGTAGGAAGGAGCTGAGAGGCGCCTCGGCTGTCGTCCCGTGTTGGATTTATCCTGCGCAGCGCGTGATGCGCACTGTCCCCCATCCCATAAGAGGCTTTTTTTGAAGCGATGCAATCTTAACAATTCATTCCTGACCAACAATCCGTAGCTTAACGAACGGTAACCGAATTTACTTGTCGAGCGCTCGTGTCGTCAGCTTGCAGCTCACAGCCGTTCTCCTCTCCTTGCAGGGGGCGCGGTGTTGGGCCTCCCCCTCCGCCGCCTCCTCCCCGGGGGGCCCTGGTGCGAGGAGCCCCGGTGCGGGGTGCCATTGCCAGGGGAGCAGCTGTAGCCCGTGGAGTTCCGCCCCCCCCAGCAGTGCGGGGAGCTCCTGCCCCCAGAGCGCGCGCGGCCGGCATCCAGCGGATACCGCTTCCTCCTCCGCCAGCACCAGAAACCTACGAGGAATACGTAAGGAGCCGCCTGCCGTCGGGTGTCATTCCTGCTAGCTGGGCACGTGTCAGTTATTGGACGCTGTGGATGTAAAGGCTGCACCGCGAGCGCTGCACCAAGCAGTGAGCAGTAGTGCAAACGCTGGTACGGTGCTGGGCGACCTGCGCTGCCTGCTTCCAAAGGAGCTGCTGGTGTGGTGAATAGCGTAAAGCTGAAATGGGCCCAGCAGCATTTTGGGGAGCCGTCACAGATAAGGCAACTTGAAAAATCCTGCTCTTCGTCCCAGTAAAACTTGTGATGTTTTTTTGTCTGTCTGTGAATCTGTGTGTTGGGTATCACAGTTACAGACTTCCCAGTGCGTGGGTTTGTACTGTAGACAAGCTGTAGCCTTGGACATGTAAGTCACTTTCTAATCCACTCATTGTAAAGATCAGTGTGGTTCATTCCTTGCACACAAGCAGTTTTTAGTTGCCCACTCATGTTTTCTGCTCAGTCCCTTCCCTGTGGCAGGCAGGGACTCATGAGCTGCTCCAAAAACCACTGTAACCTGAATTCACTTCTGCTGCTACCTTTGGTCAGTCGTTAACCTTCCATCTTTCCCTTGATGCCATTTGTGTCATCTGTTTCAGGGTTACGATGATGCATATGCAGACCAGAGCTACGAGGGCTATGAAGGCTACTACAGCCAGGGCCAAGGGTAAGTCTCCCACCGGTTACTGGGAAAATTATGCATGATCTTTTTTTCTTTTAAGAGAACAGAAACACTTATTTCTGCGTGTGAGCTGTAGGGAAAGTGCCCTCTTCTGCTACAGTCCTGGAGTCCCTGGGAAATAACTTTTGGGAGTGTCCCAGTTCGAAGCAACGAACGCCACCACAGCCACGAAGAGCAAAGATGCCCCGTGTTGCTCAGGTGTTTGTGAGGTTGTGTCAGCTCAGGAATACCATTTCTGCACTGTGTGTAACCAGCATGATTACTCTTCCAGGGACACAGAATACTATGATTATGGACACGGGGAGGCACAGGAAACCTATGAAGCTTATGGTATGTCTGGGAATCCTGTTTTTCTCTAAAGGGAAAGGGCTGCACGTAGCTGGGAGTTGCCTGCACATAGCAGCTGTGTGTGGTTGGGAATTGCTTGTAGTCGGTCAGCTGTTCTCCGGTGCTGCTCCACACTCTGAGCAGAAACTTCTGACACTGAGGAGGACCTCAAATAGTTTTCATGGCAGAACTTCTTTACTTCTACACATTACCCAGATCAGAGCAACTGAAGGCATTATGTGGTTTTTTAGATTCTTATGTAGCTCGATTGTCTCAAAGGTGATGAAAAATTCCATTTTTAACTGTGGAAATATCTTTCCATTTCCTGGTAGCTTTAGAGTATTTTAAGAGCTATGGATTTCCACCCACAGCACTGCTTTTGCTGCAGTCTGGTTTCATGAATTATATTTTGTTGAGCTGCGTGAATGCGTGGCTCCATCTGCTTCCTTATCCTCCAAACCCTTCCAGCTGACTGCACTACACGTTGGCTTTAAAAATGGTTTTAAATGTCATATTAAGGCCTGTTCCTTGACTAGCTGGAAAAATGTTCTTCGCTATGACTTGCAGGTAGTCTGAAGTTTGGCTAATGTGCATTACCTGAGGCCATCAACTTAGGCTGGACTGAGGAGTGTGGGAGGCCAATTTAAGCACAGCAATGTAAATCACAGACTGTCGAAAGCCATAGGCCTATCTGAGGTGCAGGCAATAAAGGATTAGGTGGCTGCGTTGTTTTTTAAGCTAGTTCAGATATCCGAGCTTATGAGTGGCATCTGCATATGGCGAAAAGAAGGACTCGTTTTCCTTTCTCTGTAAGCAGCAAAAGGCTCACAGTGAGCTGCTCAGTGGTGTGGAAATACGCAGGATGGAAGGCAGTGCCTGCAGCAAAGCTTCCATCAGTCGCCTGAGGCTGTGAGCAAACTGAGCCAGCAATGGTAATGACCATCAGTCTTTGCACAGAGAGGCTTCTGGTGTTCTCAGAAGCAGGGAATCCCTCCTCCCTGCTGTTGTTGGGAGCTGTGAGCAAAGCCAGACCTGCCTCTGGGTGTGCCCTGGGCGTGAGCTGTGAGAAGGGCAAATTCAGGTGCTTATCAGGGCTGCTTTTCCAGTCTGAGGTGGGTGTGAATAGACAGCTGCTGTCAGCAGTGCTGGGTATCTCCGTGCCTCTGTGCAGAATGGCTCTGGGATGGCTTGGGTTGCTGCCTGTGTCAGTCGTGCAGCACAAAGAGGCTTTTGTGCCTCCTGCTTGGTAGGAGAGCGGTGTTGTCTTGGGTCTGAAGGCCAAAACGCTCGTTGCACACTTGGCATGAAGTTGCCACAGTTAATCTGTTTATCCACAGTAATTTCCTTTGGTCTCTGCTTTCATGAAAACAAAATCAGAAGAATAAATTGTCGAGCCAGGCTGGAGACTTGTGAGAATCAGAGCATGTTCCATGGCAGCAGGAATGGCGGCCGGCTGGCCTCGGGGTCCAGGAGGTTGCTTTGCTGAAGTGGGGACTGCAGAGAGCAGCAGGCACAGCAGTATGGGTGCTGCAAGCACCGAACGGAAAGCTGAGCTCAGTTGTTTGGGGCGTGAGGCAGCTCAGGAACAGTGGGGTGCAAACTCTGCTTCAGAGGCAGTTGTGCACGGCAGCAGTTTGCGGCTGTCCTGCCTGTGTGTTGTCCCGGCGGTGCTGGTGCAGTGCTGGAATGCAGGTCTGCAGCCCAGCAGATGCTGCACGGCTGCAAATGGCCCCTGGTGTGGATGTGTTGGGGCACAGGAGCGGCCCGGCCTGGTGCTCCGCGAGGAGGAACGCGACCTGCAGCCGTGTTGGGCCTGGAGGTCGGCGCTGATGGCTGAGGCTGCGATGTGGGCCTGCGTGGGGCTGGCTGCCACGGCCGCCTTGAGAGCTGGCTGCAGCGCTGCTGAAATTGCTCATCAAAGGCACTGGGTTTGTCCAAGCCTGGGCTGAGCGGGGAATCCCGGCCTGCAGCTTTTCCCAAGGCCAGCGGCGTCCTGCAGAGATTCTTGTAGCACTGGGGGGCGAGGGCTGCAGCACAGCGGCCTGTCGGGGCCGCGCCGGGCCCTGAGCGCGCTGCTCGCTGCCGGCGTTGATCTGTCGCTCTCTCTTCCGCAGGCCAAGATGACTGGAACGGCACCAGGCCCTCCCTGAAGGCCCCCCCAGCCCGGCCGGTGAAGGGCGCCTACAGGGAGCACCCATACGGACGTTACTAAAAACAAAATGAGGGAAAAATAGCAGTTATGAGCAAACAGTTGTTACTGATTCTTGTATCTCCCAGGATTCCTGTTGCTTTGCCCACACCAGACAAGTAATTGTCTAACTGTTTTTCTTCGTGGCCCTTTTTCTCCCACTCCATCCTCACCCTGCATTCTGGCTTCTGTACGTAGTATTTTAAAATGAGTTAAATAGACGTAGAGCACCAGTTTTAATTTTTTTTTTTTTGAGTGTGTAGATGGCTTTTCTTTCTTTGTTGTTTAGATAAATAAAACTGTACCTTTTTCATAAAAGAAAAAAAGTTTAAAATGTTAGTTTCAAAAGTGACATGCTTGCTTAGCAGATATGAAACTAAGGTTTTGTTAACCTTTAAGTTCGGTTTTAAGAAACCCATAAAAGTTGTAGTTGCAGAATCCCAAAGTAGGCTACATTTCAAAATTCAGGGCTGTTTTTAAGAATTAAAATCATAATGTAACGGTAGTGGTTGCCACCGTTTAGAAGTAACCTCAGACGTCAAACTGTCCTTAAAAGCAGATTGCTGGTGAATCTTCAGTTTAAAATGTAACATGAAGGATCCTCAAGCAAATTAAATAGCATTTTTTTAAAAGGTAATTGATCTAAAAGAAAACAAACAAAAAATTAGGTTTGTAAAATTGACTTTCACGACGTGGGTTTTGAAATCTAGCCCCAAACGTGCGGTGTTGAGAGATGCTTGGGAAGTGCTGTCCCACTGCCAGGGCTCCCTGCTCCGGTCCTGCATGGAGAGCTTACGAGAGGGAAACAAATTAAAGCACGGCTCTAATTGCCCAGCGTTTGGTATTAGAAAACAGCATTCAGTGACTAGGTCTGAATTCTATAAAATTGCAGTCTTCTCATTTTTCTAGCATTGGTGGCGCATAATACAGTGCAAGCTTAAAACTGACCAAATGATCAGTATTAGCAACCCCATTGACTTGTTCAAGTGCATCTCAACACTAGCTCTGCATAAAAAGGGACGCTGCAGCTGAAAAAATGAGGAAAATTTTCACTCTGTACATAGGTTAAAGTCCTAATGGGATTTGTACATGGTCCTCCCACTGTTCTGGAAGATTAAATGCTACATGTGTAAGTCTGCCTAAATAGGTAGCTAAAACTTGTCAACATGTCTGCCGCAGTTTGTCAATAAAGTTTAGTCCTTTTTTAATCAAAGTAAATGTGATGAATTGTCATTTTTTTGTTGAGCAGTAAAATAGCTGTTCTTTTTCTTTTTCAAATAATTTTAAATTAATGCTTAAATTAATTGTCTTTTTAAAATATGGAGGCATTCTAAAAGTGGTGTTTTTTTGCAATTCTTACCAAAAGTTGATCAAGTTCATCGAACAAGCTTAATTTAAAGGGGAAAAAAAAAAAAAAAAAAAAAGGGAAAATCTTGTTTTTCACCCCCTGGAAGTTCTTTGAAAGCAGTTTGATCCCGGACTGTGGCAGCAAGCTGACTTGTGTCTGCTGAAAAGGGGCTCTGCTGAATTACTGATTCAGATTGCAGGTGGCCTCAGAGCAAAGCAGGCTGCAGGCTCCAGGCTGAGGCTGAGATGGCTGCTGTAAAGCCGAGGAGGAGGGAGCTTGCTTTCTGTGCACGTAACTGCCCTGACCCACTTGGCTGGGACGATGCCCCTCCGACTCGCAGGCAGCCTTTGCTGGGACAGCCTTACAAACGTCCCCCTTTGAGGAGGGTGCTGCAGTTGCTCCTTGTATCCAACCCGAGGGTCTGCGTGTATTTCTGTGCACACACCTACAAACGTTGAAACCTGCTCAGAGAGACTGACAAACTCTGTGCTTCCCAGCGCAAAGCATCGTAGGGGGAGAGAACAAAACTGCTCGGGGGTGAAAAATAGAGCATCAGGAAGCAGGCTGCTCGTAGCAGTGCATGACTGAGGGGAGTACTTTAAAACAAGCAGTTGTGTTTGTAGATTGTTATTAAAGTGCAAATAACTGAATTTTCAACAATGGTTTGGAGTCAGCTTTCAGGGCATAATGTCTTGCTTGATGAAAAGATCACCCTATGCCCCCCTTTTAAAGGAAAATTATCGCAGGAGAATCAGGATGTGTAAAGCTAACATGCATCGCAAAACCCAAAAGGTAACCTAAATGTCTGATTTTAATAGCACATTTCTCTTTTACATAAACCGTGACGGCAACTTGCATAAACTTTATTGAGACCATTCTTCAAGTGTTAATTTTAATGTAAAAAAATTTGCACACAAAAAAATGTTTAAAATAAACATTAAAAAAAAAAAAACAGCAACCGACCAACCACGTGGTAATGCATAATTAGCAATAACTTTAATACCGTGCCCTTTGAAAATGCACTGTAATGGAATGTGGGCAAAAGGGAATCGGCAAGCTGAAGTATCAAAAGATGTAAAGTGACAACGATGTAGATAGTGCTGCTACTGCCAAAACATTCTGCTCAGTTGTTTCAAAACGTAAAGCGATGGCCCTTTGTAGACCCCACTATTGATACCGGCTGTGAAATGCTCCAAGCTCAGCTTAAGTTGCATGTTTTCCTTCCTGTGTAATTGCATGCAGGACTCTGTTCTGTTGGCTTGTGCTCACGTTGAGGAGACTGACGGATGCCTTCAATTTGCAGGAGCGCGGAGCGGCGGACGAGGGCTGGAGGCGAGGAGGGGCAGCGCTCAGTGGGTGAGTCTGTCTGCTTATTTTTGCAACTTGCAGCAAGCTGTGAACACGTTCGTGTGGGCAGAGAGGGCGGCACCATCTGAGCTGTTAAATTGGAGCCGTTCTTCACATACCCACAAATAAATCGGTGCTGCCGAAGGCCGGCTCCAGCAGTGAGGCTCCTGCAGAGGTCGTGGTGCGGAGGAGGCTTTGCTGGGTGCATGCTTACAGCTCTCCCAGCGAGATCCTGTGGAGAAGGAGGCTTAGTGGGTTTGAGGAGAGGGGATTGGGATACGATCTGTTTCCTGGGGCTGGTGCCTGGCTGAGATGCTGGCTTTCATGTGAGCGCCTGCAGCTGCAGGGTAGCACTGAAGTTGTTGTTACCCCGTGCTCTAGGATCAGAGCGGTCCAAGCAGGAATCTGTAGAGATGCAATGGCATCATAGAAGCACGGGATGGTTGGGTTGGAAGGGACCTTACAGCCACGCAGTCCCAACCCCTGCTGTGGACTGGCTGCCCCCAGCTCAGGCTGCTCAGGGCTCCTCCAGGGATGCGGCACCCGCAGCTCTGGGCAGAACCACTGGGTCTCGCTGCCCTCTGAGGAGAGAATTTCATCCTCACATCTCACCGAAATCTCCCCTCCTTAAAGCCTTTCCCTCTTGTCGTCTTGCTGTCAGACCATATAAACAGTCGCTCTCTCTCCCCGCTTTATGAGCTCCCGGGTGCCGTGCGCTGTCGCGCTGCTCAGCCGGCGTTCCTGGGTTGGGACGAGCGCAGCTCGGAGCTCTGGGCTGGAGGAGCCCCGCTCCCTGGTGCTGCTCAGCAGCGGCGGTGGCGGGGCTCCCTCTGGTGGCTGCAGCGGCCGCAGTGAAATATTTGCTCTGCAGCCGCCTTCACGGCGCGGCACGTGCTTGCAGACCGTGCCGGCTGTGCCTGGGGACGCTGAGCTCCGGCGTCACGCGGCGCTGACCTGGGCGCGCAGCAAGGACGCGTCTCCCCTGCGGCCCCGAAGGCAGCAGCCCTGAGCGCGTCCCCTGGGGGCGGCTAATTGGCTTCTCTCGTATCTTGAGATCGCTGGAAGCCTGAGCTCCAGAAATCAGAGAACAAAGAAATAAGCCTTTGTGCTGCTGGAGGAGTGTAACGGCTTCAAAAGACTGCTGCGCAAAGCCCCGGGAGCGGGACGTGGAAGGACATGAGACTTATTTTATATGGAAATGCAGAGCTACTCAACGAAGAGCGTTAGGAACGAGAAGATGGTTATATGTGGAAATGGTGCAGCACAATGAGATTACCCTCAATTCTTTGCCTTTAACTTGAAAATTGGAGCCGTAATTCTGTTAGGGAAAGACGTCGCATCTGGAATTCGGGGGGCTGTTTGTGTAATGCATCTCCATTACAACGTAACTGAAACATCAGTTCATGCGCTGGTGTTCCAGTCTTTGCCATTTCTTTCTTAATAGGCACAACTTTTATATCAAATGGAAAAGATTTGATAGAGATCATCTATTATGATGCAGTTTTTTACCAGTAGGATCTTGTGGCACCGCCTTTGGAGTTGTACAGCTTGCTTGTGCATCACATTTATTGCATGTTTATGTGAAAATGTTGAATGTTATGGGGGAATGTAAATCTTAATATATTGAAAATAACTGCATACGCTAAAAATATTTCAAAAACATGTTCTGCATCAGATAGCTTCCTCCCTCTCAAAGCATCGCTCCACGCAGATTGTAGCCGAGAGTCTGCAGAAGCTAATTGGAGATCCCAGAATAGCCGTCAGCGTCGGATGTGTCTCTGAGATGCTGTAATGAGCCACGGTCCGGGGTGATGCAGGGCTCACAGAAATATGTGAGGGTGGAGATTCCTCGGAGTGCTGGAGGCCGAGTCACCCAGTAACCTTCCCTTTTCTGCTCACAGCCGCTGGAGATGGCTCTGGTTCTGCTGGCTGTTAGCAATCGAGTGCAGATGACATTTCACCTCTGGACTTGCCCATAGAACTAATCTGATTGTTTGTGGGATGGTGGCCAAGTCCATACACAAGATAAAAGCCCCCACAGCGTGGTGTCCAGCAGCAGTCACCTCTCCCTGTGGAAGTGTTTCCCAGCAGTGCTGTTTGTAGGCTTGGCTTTAGGACACCCTCTGCTACACAGCTCTCCCTGCTCAGCAGTCCATCTTCTCTGGCTCCTGCTCTGGGAGGCTGCTGCTGCTTCAGCCTCTGGTCCAGCATTTGGTACTCAGGCTGCCTTGCTTGGAGCCGTTACACAGCTGGACTCTGTCCTCCTTCAGTGGGAAGTCACCACGTGTCGTGGTTCCCAGCATCGAGCAGCAGCTGAGCTCCAGCTGGGACTGCAGAGATGTCCCGAGCAGTTCTTCCTGGAAGGAGACTGTTGCACTGCATGTATTCCTTACCCCTGGTTTCAAGTTGCTGTTTAGATTATTAGATAAAGCAAATGACTGCGAGCTTTATTTCATAATTTATTGATGGTAATTTTTATGTAGCGTGGCCCTCTGTAAAACTCCATCTTTGGCAAGTTGGATCCAGCTGAGGTTTAGGAGCACAGCTGCATTCCTTGCTTGGCTCTTAGAGCAGATGATTCCTCTTGTACAGAATGAGTTTTCAAATTTGTATGAGAGCATCTGTCACGGACAGAGCCAAGAAAAGCAATTGAGATGTGCACCTCTTCCTCCCTGCCCCACACCGCTGCTCCTGAAGGGCCCACGTGGGCAGGGGGCAGCAGCTGTGCCTGCCTGCAGGGAGCTGAGCAGAGCAGGAGGTGCCGTTAGCACAGCCCTGCCGTGAGGGCTGTGAGTGCAGATGGTGCTTTTGGGGAGTGTGGCGCAGCTTAGGGAAATCCTGCCTTAACTGAGAAACCTGCAGCCTCCCGGGCGAGATGTTGGACACCAGCTTTGTTGGTGAGCTTTGAGGGGGAGGAATTTCTGCAGCCGGTCGGTGCCTGTGGGGAACTGCCATCTCCAATGTAGATATTATTCCTCTTCTCAGGAAGCTCAGATCCCGAGAGCACAGAGCAGAACCCTTTGCTGTCGTTGCTCAGCTGAGCCATATGTTCCAGTAGAAATGTTTGTTTCCACGCTCACTTTGCTCCTTTTGAGATGCGGGACGGAGATGGGATGCGTTGCTTTCAGATGACGAAGGAATGCAGTCCGGGAGCCCTTTGCTTTACTGCAAGGTGGAAGCAGCCGGCTCTGCTGAACGCCGGAGCTCCTTCAGCCACCTCCAGAGCTGGAGAGAGGCAGCATCGAAGCACGGCCTTCCCCATGGAGCTGTTACTGCTGCCTCTGGAACCCAGCACGAGCGAAAGCCTGCAGCGTTCCACCCTGCCCTGCTGCTGTGGAGCGCCGGTGCTGCTGCCGGGCTGGAGGACGTGGTTCTGCTGCTGCTGCCGGGATGCTGCTGGGCTTCGGTGGCTGCACAGGTTCCAAAACCAATAAGGAAGAGAAGATTGGTCTGTGAAAGGCCGTTAATTTTGGAAGTGGCTTTGCCTGCAGCCTGGGCAGGGTTGTGCACTGCTCCATCTGAACCACAGCCTGAGCCGCCCCGAGTTGGGGAACTCAGTGCAAAGCGCTGCAGTGGCTCCATCCAGCGCTGATGGAGGTTAATGTTGCCGAGGTGAATGGTGGCGTTAAGCTGGTTGTGCGGGAAGCTGGCACGGTGCGACACAGCTGGCGTTCAGCTGATGCTGGAAATGATTTGTCATTCTTAATAAAGATTGAACGCGGATCTTTTGGCTTCCAAACGCGTGCAGTGGTGCCGTTTGTCGGGGCTGTTATTAAGGAGAGTGGGGCAGGGGGGGTGGCGGGGGGCTCAGGACAGCGCAGATGTTCCGTACGGGTTTCTCAGCGCCCTGACAGCGCGGTGTCACCGCAGGGATGGGGCGGCGGACGCGCGGCTCCTCAGTGCCGGGGTCCCGCATCTCCGCTCTGCTTCCCGCGCGGCTCCCGAATGAACGACGGGGCGGGGCGGGGGGCGGGGCCTGAGGGGGCGGGGCGCGGATCCGAGGAGGATTGTCCGCTAACGGCCGCCGTCCGTCCGGCCCCGCCCGCCATATTGCGCCCCTGCACGGGCCGAACGGCGGCCGGAGATGGGTGAGGGCGGGCGCGGGCAGCGGGACGGGGCGGAGCGGGGCGGAGCGGAGCTGCGGGGACCGGGACGGGCGGCCGGGAGGGAGCGGCGGCCGAGCTGCGGGCGAGGAGGGGGCCGAGGCGGGCGGGGCCGAGAGGCGCCGTCAGCCCCGCCCACACGCGCTGAGGGGCGGCTCCGCGCCGGGCCCGGGCCGATCCGCGCTCCTCCGGGCCGATCCGCGCTGCCCGCGGCCCCCTGGCCTCCGCTCTGCACGGCGCGGCTCCCGAGCTCCGCGGCCCTGGGGCCTCCGCGGCCCGCGGTGCTGCTGGCCCTGCGCCCTTGGTGCCCCTCGTTGCCGCGGTGGGCGTGAGGCGGTGGGCGCGGTGCCCCTCGCTGACACCCTCCGAGCTGCAGCCGCACGGCGCGTTTCGTGCAGCCCCGCACCGCCGGCTGCGGCCCCGGCGATGCCCCAAACGCGCTTCGGCTGCTTCTTTTCCCACCTTGCAGAAGGAGAAAACGATTTCCGTGCTTTTGTGGCACCGCTCTCAAGAGCTGCGGGTGTCCCACGCAAACACAGAACTGCACGAAGGTGCCCCCAGTGCACCGAGTCCTTTGGGCGCGTTGTGTACAGCCCTGGAAGCAGCGGGGTAACACTGCAGCAGGGCTGTGCTCCTTGGGATGCGTTCCTGGGTTGGGGTGCAGGGAGCTGCTCCCTGCTGCTCACACTGAGCTTCAGCACCGCGGTGAGAAGGGCTGAGCAGAGCTGCTTCCCTGCGGGTGAGCCTCGCTCATAAACTTTCTCTTTCCAGTTTTAAGGACTGAAGGCGTAACAGTGCAGTGAGCAACCAAGAAGCCGCCCCAAAGAACAGCCCTCCGCAGCCTCTGTTGTTATGGCAGGGGGAAGGCGGGGCCCCAACCGCACCTCCTACTGCCGAAATCCCCTCTGTGAGCCCGGGGCTGCTGGCGGCTCCGGCCACTCCACGAGTTCCTCTGTCACAGGCGTTCGCTCCCGCACCAGGTACGGCCCGACCCGAGGCAGCCGTGAGGTCGCCTGTGCCTCCTGTCTCACACACAGCTGGCTGCCCTGCAGCTCAGGGATTCGTTGACTCCTCTGTGCTGTGCGTTCCACTCGGAATAGGTGGGTTCTGATGTGCTCACGTGCTTTGTCAGACCTCGGCGGACTTCCAGGAGTGTTCAAAAGCATGTAGGGGTCAACTGGGGAAAGAGAACAGATCACGGTGCATCCAGCGCCTGTCTGTGGAGTTCTGGTTGTTGTGTCTCCTGTGCCAGGTGAGGTGTTTCTAGGGTAGAGATCAGCTCCTCAGATGTTGTGTAGGCTGCGTTTCAGGTTTTTTTCCAGGTTCTAGCCTGACTGGTTTGTTGCCTTTCTGCTTCTGAGGTAGAGAGGTGGAAAGAGAAGCTCTGTGCCAGCAGAAATACGTAAGCAGGAGGTACCTTATGAACTGTCTGCTTAGCAAATGTTAGACCCGTTTTAACGTACTCCCTGCTGGTGAGCTTAGGCCAAGGAATGCACATGGATACAGTTATTCAAACAAGTTACTGCAAGGCCACCGAAAGTGGAGCAATCCACCGAGTGCCTGCACCACTGTGAGCGTGCACAAAGGTCCTTATTGCTAAGTAGGTAATGAAGTCCCAAGCCACACCCCAACTAATTAGTCTGTGCAGCCTTATGCTCTTAGAACCTATGAGAGCTGTTCTGTTGTGGTAGGTAGTGCTGCTGCTCTCGCAGAATCAGCCTTTGGTTTTGTGTGACTGCTCAGTGTTGAAGAGGCTTCGTGTCTGTAGTTAGAGAGGATTTGGAGCAGGAGCACCTGCTCTGAGTTATTGGCAGATTCCTCAGTCCTGAGGAGCCGAATCAGTCTTGTCAAGTTGGGATCCAGCACTTTTGGGGACACTGCTGAGGTTCCTGAAGTTGTCCTCACACACTTGTTTTATGCTCTCAGCCTTCTGACTCAAACAAACAGCGGGGCCTGTGCCAACCCTGTGCCAGAAGTCTTTCTGCAGTCACACTGACACGACCAGGATTTCTTTATGGGGTTTTCAGTAGGAGATTGGCACCTTGTGCTCTGTGGTTCCTTTGAACCCACACCCAGATTCCTGTGAGTGCTGTTATGTAGAGGTTGCAAATCAGGAGAGATGCATCTGGTGCATGTTAGTTCCCTTCCCTTTGACTGAAGGAGCTGGTGTCTGGAACTGTGTGCATGCTCACACAGGAATACGCACCTCTGACAAACTTGTTTTTCCTCCACAGTTGTGGAATAGAAGTTAAAGAATGAGAAAGGGCTCGCGTTTGATTGCTCTGTATTTCATGTTCAAGCACTCTCAGAAATGTAAATGGCAACTCAAGGTCTGAACACTTGCAGTGAATTCAATGGCTACCGACTGCCCGTTGCACAGCACAGCCGTGGCTTTCCAACCCCACTCTCTACGAAGGCTTTAATGTGGAATGAGCCGATGCTGTAGGCTGGCCTGGCTCCAAATATTGCTTTCCCTGGGGAGATTCCCGCTCTCCCTGCGCTGCAGCGATGGTTTGCAAATCCTTTGGGGTGCTGCCCCCTGTAGTTCGTGGCAGCTGTTGACTCAGCACAGCTTCCTCAGCCAGCGTTGGGCCCAGCTGCTTCTGCAGGAGGGCAGTGCTGGGGCCCTGCAGTCACTGCTGCCTTCTGTTTCCTCGTAGGAGCGGTTCAGGTACGGGGCTTTCCAGCCCACCTCTGGCAACTCAGGCAGTCGTTCCCCTGCGGCACTGTAAGATCCCAGAGCTGCCCGTGGAGAGGAGCGTGCTGTTTGAGCTCCAGCTCTTCTTCTGTCATCTCGTTGCTCTGTTTGTCCACTACATCAACATCTACAAAACCGTGTGGTGGTACCCGCCGTCCCACCCGCCCTCACACACGTCTTTGGTAAGCTGCTGCCTGCTGCTGCTTGCAGCTCTGTGGGGTTGCGAGGCGTGAATGTTTCTGTCTCTGCTTTGTGCAAACTGCACGTGGCTCCGCAGCCTGCGAGGTTCTGCTCTCATGGCTTTCAGCTGGCAAACCTGGGGCTCTGGCTGGCTGCTGGCGTTCTCTTCCTGATCTTGGAAGAGAGAGTGCAAAGAGAAAAGAGGACCTTGGGAGCTTCTCTGCTTGATGTGGATTTCTGCTGCCTGGTGGAAAGTGAAACCATTTTCTTCTTGTCACTGCAGAATTTCCATCTTATTGACTTCAACGTGCTGACAGTGACAACCATCGTCCTGGCGCGCCGCTTGATTGTTGCTATTGTGAAGGAGGTAAAGTCTGATGCACATCTCAGAACCGTTCTTTCCTCGTGGGCAGAACGTGAAGCTCTGTGTCCCTTTCCCAAAGAATGTCAGGCAGTGTCTAAGCCAGAAACGAGGGCATGTTTTCTAATGGGAAGAACAGGAGTGAGCATCTCACATCACTGCTCTCACTGCCCTTCTGTGATCATTTCTGAGTTGCTCTCTCAATGAGGCTGCTCAGCAAGCCCAGCTTCTGCTCGAGTCCTTGCAAAGAACCGGGTTGGGCTCTTGTTCTCTTAATGACTGCAGCTTTCTGCAAGGAGGAGCTGCTGTGGTTTGGCTTCTGCTGACTGCAGAGCTGCGCTGTGCTGAGCGGGATGGTGGCACAGATGAGCACTTTGGTGGGGTCACACAAAGCCTTTCCCTTCACCCTTCCTTCATGCATACGAAACTGACTGCACAGAGTGCTGCCACCTGCGTGCTTCTGGAGGAGCCCTGGATGCCTCCCTTCTGCCCTGTTCTTTCTGCTCTCCCTGCAGGCTTCCCAGAGTGGCAAAGTCTCCCTGCCGCGCTCCGTGTTCCTGGTGGTCACTCGCTTTGCTGTTCTCACTGGCACAGGCTGGAGTTTGTGCCGCTCGATCATCCACCTCTTCAGAACCTACTCCTTCCTCAATCTCCTGTTCCTGTGTTACCCGTAAGCATCTCTTCTGATGTTTGTGTGTGGATTCTGATGTTGCCTCAGTGCCTGGGCGTTGCTCAGGTGACACAAAGCTTGGGTGTAGAGAAGCACTTGATGACAGGATAACAGAACTTTTCAGAGCCCTTTTCCCTCCTGTCACATTTCTGCTTGGTTCCAGGCTTATCTTTCCCACTCAGCCATATTTCAGGTTCAATACAAGCGTTAATTACAGTTCTTAGGTTGCTTGTGTCACGTGAGAAGGGTTGTCTGGTTTCCTCTTGGCGTTCCAGGAGCCCACTCCTTCAGTTTGCCTTAGTCCTTAGGTGCCTCTGCCAGGTGGAGAGGATCAAGCAGCTTCCCTGCTTTGTGTTAACCAGCAGAAGAAAGCCAGTTGAATTTTACCCATCAGTTTGTGGAGTTGATCCCTTCCCTCTGGTAGATGCAAGAGGAAAGATAATCTCACATAATCTCTCATAAAGATGTGAGATTCGGTGCTGCTGTGGGTAAGGCTGCCCTGGGTTGTACCGAGGTTGAGCTGTATTGGTGAGCTGTTACCTGGATCCACGTGGGCACTGGTGTGATGGGATGGGCTGCAGCCCTCGTGCTGGCGGCGGTGTGGTCGTGCCGGCTGCAGCACTCAGGCTTTGCAGGAACTGAGCGCCCTTCTGCCTGTGCTGCCGCAGGTTTGGCATGTACATCCCCTTCCTCCAGCTGAACTGCGACCTGCGGAAGACAAACCTCTTCTCCCAGGTGGCCAACATCGGCCCCAGGGAGACCGGCGAGGTGAACTTCAGGGGCAGAGATTACCTGACCGTGCTGAAGGAAACCTGGAAGCAGCACACTCGGCAGATGTACGGCGTGGAGGCGATGCCCACTCACGCCTGCTGCCTCTCCCCAGACCTCATCCGAAACGAGGTGGAATACCTGAAAATGGATTTCAACTGGCGGATGAAGGAGGTGCTGGTGAGCTCCATGCTCAGTGCCTACTATGTGGCCTTCGTGCCCGTCTGGTTTGTGAAGGTGAGCCGGGGCGTCACCCCCCCCCAGTGTGGGTCTGGCTGGGGAGGACGGGGGGATGCCGGGTTGGGGAGGACGTGGGAAGGTCGGAGGGCTGTTCTGTGAGCACGTCACCCATTTTTGGCGATGGGTAGCGTGGTTTGTGCTGGAGCTGCACAGCTGTGTGGGTGCCTGTTTTGGAAGCAGCATTCATAGCAGAGTGAGAAGCCCTTGCTTTACCTGCTGGAGCGCTTTGTGTTTTGATGGCTGCGTTGGGTGAGCCTGTCCAAACACAGTCAGTCACACCTCCTTCTCGTCCCCCCACAGAACACTCAGTACTACGACAAACGCTGGTCCTGTGAGCTCTTCCTGCTGGTTTCCATCAGCACATCTGTCATTCTCATGCAGTACCTCCTACCTGCGCGCTACTGCGACCTGCTGCACAAAGCTGCAGCGCACCTGGGCTGCTGGCAGAAGGTGGATCCGGCCCTGTGCTCCAACGTGCTGCAGCACCAGTAAGGCGCTCTCCAGGGGCGAGGGCTGGAGCTTTCTCTTTTTTTCATTCCCTATCTGGAGGCTGAGTAGGGAGCTCAGCATTCCAGCTTTGTCTCTTTATCTTCTTTCTGCTCAAAAAGAAATAAGAACAAGAGCGGGGCTGTTGGCTGGCACAACTGCTGGCTGCGTTGCCCACTTCCAAGCGCAGCAAGCAGGTGTGATTTGGGCAAGGTGTTTGTGCTTCTGCCCACAGGCGGCTGCAGTCGTTCCCTGCCGTGGCGAGCCGAGCTCTGCCCTCACAAATGCCCACATCTCACTGCAGCACAAAGCTCAGATGTTCCCCTAGCTGAAGTGGGAAGGCAGCAGATCCCCCTCAGCCCGTGTCCTTCTCTGTCAGCAGATATTGGAGCCCTCTGCTTGTCTTCTGCAGGTGGACAGAGGAGTGCATGTGGCCGCAGGGAGTGCTGGTGAAACACAGCAAGAATGTGTACAAAGCTGTGGGGCACTACAACGTGGCCGTGCCCTCGGACGTCTCGCACTTCCGCTTTCACGTAAGATCGCGTCTCCTTTTGGGAGCTGTGGCACCAGGCGGGATGGCGGCGGCTCTTTGTCCTCAGCCCCAGCGCCGGCTGCTGGGACGCGCGGTGCCCACCGTGCTTCGGTGCTGCCAGCAGGGAGGCTGTGCCGCGTCCCGGCCTCTGTGCAGAGCTGGGCCTGAGCGGGGGCTGCGTGCCCAGGGGAGTCCTGGCAGGGCGGCACTCAGGGCTCTGCCTCGCTGCTGCCCAAAAAGCAGCCCTGGGAGCTCTGCCGGCGCTCCGTGCCTCACTGCACCTCTCCTGCAGTTCTTTTTCAGCAAACCGCTGAGAATCCTCAACATCCTGATCCTGCTGGAAGGAGCTGTCATCTTCTACCAGCTTTACTCGCTGATTTCTTCCGAAAAGTGGCACCAGACCATCTCGTTGGCTCTGATCCTCTTCAGCAATTACTACGCCTTCTTCAAGCTGCTGCGTGACCGTCTGGTGCTGGGCAAAGCCTACTCGTACTCTGCCAGCAGGGACTCAGAGCAGAAGTTAAATTAAAACAATTGCACTGATGCTCAACTTATTACAGAACAAACAAAACAAGGAACCCTCAGAGCTTTGTATTTTTGTTACCACTGCTTTTTTTTTTTTTTTTTCTTTGATAACTGATGTAATTAAAAGGAAAAAACATATTTTTTTACTCCCAACAGCTGTCGGCGTGTTTGTTTAATAAGGTCCCATGGGAGGACCTCCTCCTGCTGGGCTGCGAGGAGCCCTTTATTAACAGCACTTTGTTTTGGGACGTGGAGAAGCTGCTCCTCGCAGAGCTGCAGCTGCCCCGATTGAGGAGGGGGGGGATCAGATGCAGCACATCTCCCAGCTCCCAGCTCGGTGCCTTTAGGATGGGACGCGTGTTGCTCTGCGTTTTCCAGGCAGCCCGGAGGAATTCCTTTATCACCCTGCGGCGGTTGGCCGCGTTATTGAGGCAGTTCTGAGCTGCTGGATTTGGGTTGGACGCGGGGCCGAAGCGCCGCTTTGCGGACGGCCCTGTGATGCCCGCGGCTCTCGGCGGTGTTTCCGCGTCCCGCGGCTCCGGCCGGGTGAAATTCCGGGGCCCTCGGCGCTCCGAGACGGAACCCGAGCCGCCGCACCGCGCCGCAGCCGCCGCCAGGGGGCGCCAGGAGAGCGGAGCTGCGGGGCGGAGGGCGGCACCGGGCCGCTGCCGGCCGCTACGGGGCGAAGGGCGGCGTGGGGAGGAGGAGGGAGCGGGGAAAGGAGGGTGCGGGGCTGAGCCCGGCCCGGCGCGGCTCTCCGTGTCCGCCGCACCGCCCGCAGCCCCCTCCCCACGGCGCGGAAGCGGCCGCGCTCGGCCTTTCCCGAGGATGAGGATTTCCTTCCTCCCATTGAGCGCTGCCCTGGGGTTAGCACGCAGCCGTGGGGCTCTCGCCGTGCAGGACGCGTCCACCTCCCCCCCTCCCGGCGCACGGCTCCACCCAGACCCCCTTTTATCCCCCCGCCGACCGCGACCCCCGGAGCCGCCCTACGGGTGGGGGATGGGGAACGGCCGCCCGCCGCCCTCTGCTCGGCCCGAGCGGAGCAGCATCCTCCAAAACCGCGATTCGGGTTCCCGAGCAGCGCGGATTCGGCAACGCGACGTCCGCCCGGGGTTACGCTGCGTCCCGACCGCGTTATCCGTGCGGGAGCGGCGGGGTTGGGCGCGCCCCGAGCGCTGTCCCCCCAGCGGGGAAGGGCCGAGCGTGGGGAGCGCTTCTCCTTTCCTCTGAATCACGGGGCGCTGCGAGCGGTGGGGTTTTCCCCACGATGTCCCCGGGAGATCCCGGGTGGGAATTCCCCTGAGAGCAGCAGAGGCTCCTCCCGCTACCAGCCCGGGGTGGGGACTTTGTCCCCTCTGTCCCGGTGACCCGGGGCTCCATCTGCCGCCCCCTAATCCCGGGATTAGGCCCAGCTGCCCGGCGCAGGTTTGCTGCAGGTAACAAGGATCCCTCGGGGAGCGGCTGTGGACGTCCAGGCACGGGCAATTAGGGCTAATCCCGCACCTGTGCCTAATGAGCTTGGGAACCGGGGAGACCGCGGGCATCGGAGAGCTGTCCTGGGCCGGCCCACCGGACTCCAGCGCTGGTTTGGCCTCAACAACAACAGCTGTTATGGGGTCACGGAGCTGCCCCTCCAACAGAGCAGGATGTGGCACACATGCGATGCAGTGATGGAGTGTTGGCTGCCTGCTGGAATCCCCCCTCAGCACGGCCATGTTCCCACAGAGCCCACCCACCCTGGGGGAATCACTGCCATCCCAGTCCCATCCCAGGCCCCATTCGGCCCCTTCTGGCTCTCTGGCAGCAGTTACAGGAGTGGCTCTAACGCAGAGATGACATCAGTGCCCAGCAGTGCTGCAGCAGGGCCGTGATGTGCAGAGCTGAGGTGTGGGGGCTGCGGGGGTCCTGGGCACCCAGTGCCAGCAGCGCTGAGCCGGGCTGCACCGGGCAGCTGAGCTGTGCCATCCAGCGCTGCCCTCACAGCTGACCTTGCCCAGGGCTCACCTGGCCAAAAGCAGGGCAGGACACGGCCCACGAGGTGCCGTCCTGAGCCAGCGGGACCTGCCTTAATTGGCAGCCCTGAATTAGCGTGTGGTCCCCGTTAGCAATTATACACACACGCACATACGCCCTCATTTTCAGATCTGAACAAGTTCACGCTGTGGAGCGGTGAGCGTGGGGAAGAGCGGGGATGGATGCTGTGCACCCCAAGCAGGGGCTGGTGATGGGTGAGCAGGGAGCTCAGCAGCAGGATGGGCACAGCCAGGCTGCGAGGGAGCACAGCCACCACCCCAGCAACGAGTGGTGGGATGGGGCTGGGCAGGGCTCAGGGCTGCCCTGGGAGCAGATGGTGATTTGCAGCTCTGCAGGGCCAGATGGGCTGCAGGGAGAGCAGCGATGCCCCCCCGCCCCGTTACACTGCCATTTTACCCAACCACCTATAAATATTTAACAGCTCCATCCTCTGCGCTGCTGCTGAGCTCACAGCCAGGTGCGTGGCAGCTCCTTCTCCCCCCAGATTCCACCCCACTCCTGGGCACGTTTTGTTTGCCCTTCTCTGGTCCCAGCAGCCACGTTCCCCATTGCTGGCTGTCCCCAATCTGGAGCCCTGGCTGTGGATGTGTGGCACCTCTGCCACCAGCAGCCCCACGGTGGTGTCCCCAGGTCCCTCCATGGATGGATAGGTGGGTTGAGGGATGAGTGGGCAGAGAGACAGAGGAAACAGGGGAGACAAGGATGGAGAGGTGGTTGGATGGACGGATGGGTGGTCGGTCCCCACCCGGAGCATGGCTCGTCCACCACAGGAGCTCACAGCTCAGCTGGGCAGCGCCGGGTCCCCAAGTTTCACCAGCAGCATTCGCTGCTTCCTTCCAGATCAGCGATAAAGACATCGACCACAGCGCTGCTCCCCCAGGCGTGCGCCCGGATGGTGGCAGCTCCTGATTGCAATCACTTTGGGGGATCTCCTGCTGACCCAGTTGTTAATCCACCGAGCAGGGACTGATGCTGATGGGAGGGGAGCAGTAAGCAGGGCAGGGGGCAGCAGCACAGCCCCATCCACCCCCCCAGCCCCGATCCCAACAGCCCCACGTGCCGCACAGCGCTGGGGTGGCACCGCTGCCCCGCAGGGCCGTTCCCACAAACCAGCGCTGTGATTCAGCCACCGGGAAGCGCAGTGTGGGGCTGGGCTGGGGGGGCCGTGGCACCGCGTAGCAGCGCAGGATGGGACCTGCCGGGGCCCCGCTTCCTGGGCAGCCAAAACCCCGAGCAAGGAGGGAAGCGCGGAACTTCCTTTTCCTTCCCTGCAGAGCCGCGTGGCTGTCAGTGCACGGCTCTGCTGGGGCGCTGCCCGCAGCCCCATCCCAGGGCGCAGCTCTGTATCACACTGTGCTGACGCAGGCTTTGCTCACCGGGGCCGCCCGTCGCAGTGCAGGTGACGCTGGCGGTGTCGCCTCCCATCACGGGCTCGGCCCTCCCCAGGGGTCGCAGCGCTGAGCTCCCAGGAGGGGGTGCAACGGTCCATCAGCCCACAGCCCGTAACCCGGCCACCCTTATGCCAATCCAAGGCCCAACCCCACCTGTGCACCCACTCTCAGCTGACAGCACCAGGCTGCCTCCAGATAGGGGATTTGGGCTCGTTACTGCCCCCCCAGAGAGGACTGCAGGATGGAGCTGCGGTGCTCCAAGGGGGTGTGGAGGGGCGCTCAATGCAGGGCAGAGCACAGCTGTGCAGCTTCCACTCACCCCCAGGGCAGTGAAGGCTCGGCTGCTCCGACACCACAGCAATGCAGGCTCTAATGAGCTGGGATGGTTAATTAGTCAGTGTCAATTTATGTTAATTAGCTGAAGGAGTTGAGAGACTGATTCCTCTGCCACCTGGCTGGCACCGGAGCACCGGGCTGCTGCAAAACAAAACCAGGAATTGGGCTAAGGAAAGGGCTGCAGTGCTGCCCCGGGGCTCTGTGTGCCCAGCGCTGGGGAGAGGCCATGCTGGAAGTGCAGACATCCTTTTCTCACCCACCTGTGCACCCGCACACAAATGCACTCATGCAGCCAAGCACAAGATGCAGCCGTGCCCCTGTGCACACACAGCTGCAGGAAGCTGAGCTCACAGCATTGCTGTGAGCCCAGGGAAGGGGGGGGGGGGGATGACGTGGGAGGGGTGAGCAGGACAGGGGCACGGTGTGGGGCAGCCACGCTGGAGTGCAGCCATGAGGTTTCCTGCGGATGATTCACGCTCTTCCTCCACTTTACTGCCCTACAACCATGGGCTGCACCACACAGGAAGCCACAGGGATTTCCAAAAGGACTCAGAAGTGTTCTGGCCTCACTGCTGCTTCCTCTCCCCATCCCGCACCCAAAGAGATCCTTCTGGCCCTCCCGGCGCCGCAGGATCTGGCTGCAGCCCCCCTCCCACCACCACTCTGCACCTCGGCTGCGTTCCCATGGCCCCCACCCACAGCTGCAGCCCAACACAGAGCCGTGAGCACCGCCCCGTGCTGCTGCCCTTCGCCCCGCAGCCACATCAGGCACAGCCGGGGCTTTGGCTCCTCATCCTGCTCAGCTTTCAGCCCTTCCCAAACCCCTCCAACACAGGGGAGCTGCACACGCTGGCAGGCTCAGCTCTGTGGGGCACCGTTGCTGCTGCCTGGGTGCTCTGGGGGGGGGCAGTGCCTGCAGATTTGTGTCATTTTACAAGAAAACGCAGTGACACCACAGGTGGGAGCAGCCCCAGCCCTGCAGTGTCCCCACCGTGCTGCTCTGCTGCAGGGCTGCACCTACAATAGGAGCAGAGCCGGACGCAGCGCAGTGCCGTGTAGGTGCTGCCCAACCCCGTGTGCCTTTAATGCACCACATCAGCTGTGCAAATGCACCAGATTTAAATCAGCCAAACGAAGCAGGAATCTGCTGACCTCACAGCACCTGCAGCGGTGGGACCACAGGCAAACCCCAAGCCGTCCCCCACCCCACAGCCCCCAGCTCCCACACGCCGGGGCTCGCAGCCATCTGGCCGTGCTGTATTAATGCAGAGGAGAAGAAATGAGGTCAGGGCTGCAGCGGTGGCTGGGCTCGTTGTTCTGCCGTGGGATCCGGCACGGCTCTGCTCCAAGCACCGCTGCTGGGGATGGCAGTGCGGGATTTGGGTTATGGCA